ATATATTGCATGACTAAGATTAGTTGTCTGTTCCTGTGAGCTGAGCCGTTTCGTTCACTCAACACTTAACCTTTTTATTCACATTACGAAAGACAGTGTTGGCTTAATTCTCTTTGGTCTACCTAATAAGAGGTTAACTGATTTGAATCGGCTTTCAAACAACATAATTCATCAGTCTGACTGTTACACAATTGAATATTGACATTCATTGTTCAGACTGACTATATAGGAGGTGTTAATAGGCTATTCAATTAAATGTGTCCAAATACTAGTTCATTTTCATAGTTCTATGTCCTTTGAATGACTTAACGACACGTGTTATGCCATCAGTACATTGCTCATTTTTTTAGCGGTGTCATGGTGATTAGTGTCTGGGATTATGAAACAGACTTGTTTGCTAATATTTTTTTTGCATATATGAATTACACTCTCCATATACAGGGTGTTATTTTTTGTGAATATTAATTAGATTGTCTACGCTAGTGTAGACTGAATACTTTCCCATTCCATATTTCATTCATCTCTATATAGACTTCATACTATGAAAGTCAGGTATAGAAAATTGCATGGAGGATTTCATCATGAGCTGACATCAGTTAGAGAACCACTGGAAAACCTGGGAGTACTGGACAGCTGTTCCGTCCTAGTTTGGAACTCTTCATCAGTACGCACCCACCGGGATTCGAACCCAGGACCTTCTGGTTACAAGGCGAGCTCGTAGACCATTGAGCCATTGGGAGCCGATCCAATGGTCCTTGAATTCTAACTTCTGCCAATTCACGATAAAGCGTTACCATTTCGCAATGTCTTCTTCGATGAGTTACCGGTAGGTTGAAGATGAGGCAGAAGTTAGAATTCAAGGACCATTGGATCGGCTCCCAGTGGCTAAATGGTCTACGAGCTCGCCTTGTAACGAGAAGGTTCTAGGTTCGAACCCTGGCGGTGGGTGCGTACTACTGAAGAGTCTCAAAATGGGATGAAGCAGCTGTCCATTACTCCCAGGTTTTTCAGTGGTTCTCTAACTGATGTCACTTCATGATGAAATCTTCCATGCAATCAAACAAAATCCCTACAAAACCAATACTTGAAAGTATAGAAAATTATAAAATCCTTAAAACTGTAAAATAAGCTATTATTGTCTCCTAGACCACCAACTCATTATAAACTGCAGCGCATTACTCTGAGCCAAGTGAACATTCTTAATAAAATTACGTTAGTTTTCTAAGACTGTACTATTCAATACTTCCATGATGCTTTACTGAAATCCTTCATGTTGTGAAAGTTCAAATAGTTGATTTGCTGTCTTTTGAAAAGTTCTTCCATTGCTTAAGTGGGATATTTATCTTTTACCTTGAAGTTCTGCTGTTACATTAATGTCTGACCTATCTCATGACTGAGTTTCCTTAAAACATCAGAAAAACCTTTAAACTGTGTCCGATGCGTTTAAGGACAAATAAAGCCTTAATCCCACTATATATGTGTGAGAATTCTTTGTTTATCAAACAACCTATTCACTTTTATCTACTTAGTATATATTTTCTTACTATTCAACAGGTCTGAACTTCAAGGTTAAATATTCTTTTCGTTCATCTCTTCTTCTACTTCAGGTTACGCAGTTATTTTATCCATGTTAGTTAAGAGATAATTGTTAATTACATCAGTAATGCTCTTTTAATTGTAACATAAAGTCATATATCCATTGTCATTCATGATCATTTACTTTGAACAAAACATCTTGTGATATTTGATGTGCAATTTAGTGTTATACTTATGCATTCTATCATGTACACAACTTTTCAATTGTCGTTTAATAACAATTTTAGTCAAATACACCTACCTCTCTTTCACTCTTTCTGTATGTGTCACTCTGGTATAAAACTCATGAATACTTTGACCCTAATGATTCGATATTGTTAAACAAAACATTAATGGTGTTAAGTACCAATTATTTTATAGTTAATGTATGGACATATAACTACAGAATCTTAAGAAGAAGGTATCAAAAAGAATGTTTGTTATTCATTAATCAGTATTTTAATGTATAAAAAGTATTTTCAAATAATTAAATATTCACAATAAACTGCTATTCATATATGACTGAATAAATATAAGCAGTACTGTATAAGATGTACTGTGGTGAGAGCTGTCTACTAGCCAAATTGGTAGACAGCAATTTACGTCAATGTTTACGATCTCAAGATTTGTCGTGAGAAAATACGGACAAAGACTGCTTCAAAAACCGACCACAGCAGACTTTGCGTAGGCGGATACAGCAGTTAACATATAGATGATCTGACATTCAAGAAACAGTCACAAAGAGATGAAAGATTAACTTTAAGTGAGAAACAATCAATCAGAAGACTGTGTTTGTTTGCTTAACTAAACTATAATAATGTACATGAAAATATATAAATATGCTTTGATTTCCTTAATAAACGATCTGTTGCCTGGCCCTTGTCTTCTGTTGTTAAAGTACTATTTCGACCACAGTAAATTAATCTTTTTCAAGTATTGGTTTCGTAGGGAATTTTGTTTGATTGGTTGGAGGATTTCGTCATCAGCTGACATCAGTTAGAGAACCATTGGAAAACCAACAGAGAGTACTACCAGACAGCCGTTTCGACAGTCAACTTTGAGACTCGCCAGCAGTACGCAACCACATCACGGGGTTCGAAACCACGACCTTTTCGTTACGAGGCGAGATAGCTCGTAGATCATTAAGCCACTGGGACCCGATCCAATGGCCAGTCCATGAATTCTAACTTCTGCCAATTTATGACAGCGCGACCACTTCACAATGTCTCCTTCGATGAGTTACTACCTCACCTTCAACCTGCTGCGCCCTACTGGTCACAGCTTCTCACTAGAACTCTAGGTTGACTTCCTGAGTAGGGCGAATCGCTAGTGAGCATCGGATGAATTTTCAAGTATTGGTTTTGTAGGAAATTTTGTTCGCCCTGTAACCAGAGGGTCCTGGGTTCGAACCCCGTGGTGTGGGTGAGTACTGCTGGAGAATCCCAAACTAGACTGACGAAACAGCTGTCTGGCAGTACTCCCTGTTGGTTTTCCAATGGTTCTCTAACTGATGTCAGCTGATGATGAAATCCTCCAAATAATCTCCTTTTGTTAAAAATTTCAAACAGAAAGTGTAACTTCATTATAGATTTTGTCATGAGCCATCGCTGATTGGAAAGTCATTGAAAACCAGGGAGCACTGGACAGATATTAGTCATAGTTTGTGACTCTTGAGTAGTGCACACTTACGACTCTACCAGGGATGGGAGTCAAGATCTTCGGGCTTCAAGGCGAGACCTTATTTGCATCTTAATTTCCACGGGATTGGGATCAAAACAACATTTAAAATATGATCACGTTAAGTGTTTTTTATATACTGGACACATATAAGTACAAAATGTAATGTGGGTGAAATCTTATGTTTATCTTTCATTCTTGCTTTACATAACTGGAGAAGTTAATCTCTAAACGTGATTATTCTTTCATTTCACGATCGAACCACAAAATGTTAACACTGGGAAACATACACGCGATTGTATTCATAGAAAGTTTGTTTAGTACCAACACAGAAAGACAAAAGTTTCATTTGATTTCCAAATCAGACAATAAATAAAAGTGGGATAAAACACTTTCATCTGATTTATGCGTCACCATCTGAGCGTATTTACATTAAAATTTAATGGTATTCCCTTGGAAATTAGACGGCTTAACATTCATAGTCATTATCTTCATATCAAATATAGGAAAACACAATCATGGTTTAGGCTACTTTTCAGATGAAGATGCCTGGCCAACAACAAACACCAATCCCAAGCAGTGAGAGTGATCTGAAGGAAGCCGTCTGTTTCACTAACGTGACATGAGCAACATCTTTTGAACTACTGGTGATACAGATAAGAATATGAAAGTCAAGCATCCAAAGTCAGATAGGGAAAGAAATCCAGGTGTTTATTACTTTGAAATCCGTCTGGAGATCTACAGTGCAAAGAAGAAGACCCTAGCTTGTAACACTCAGGTCAAGTCAGTGCATCCAAATGGTTCATAGTCTTGGCGTACGTGACCCCCATAACTTTTCCAGTAGGTTACTGCAGACATTCATCAGCCAACAGATATCTCCACTAGTTCGATAGTGAAGACCAGAATAAGCCACAAGGAACTCTGTCAGTGAACAAACCAACCAAAAATCTATTTCCCCATTAATATGCAAGAGGTAGTAGAGATGGACTGGAAACTCTAAGGAGAAAACTGAGTAATATAACACACCAGATCTTCCAATAAGATGAAGTGAAACTGAGTGTGATGTAGCATGGGTCACCACTTATATCAGATGCAATGATCTCAATGGACTTGAATAAACTAAAGGATGTAAGGCACCCTGATCCTATTGTGGTGATGTGATACAGACAATGTGTGCCAACGGAATATTATTCTCACATATTCCCACAGTTCAATTCGGCATTAGCAACAGAATACAATATATCTATTTGAACATTCTATTTCATGTCGTTTGATGTAAACCGAAATCACACAACTCAGTGATTTGTTAACGAATATAAACTGTAGATATATAATCAGCGGTTTGATTAATGAAAAATATACTTTCGCTTCCGTGTCTTGCCTTCTGATGTTACACTGTTTCTTATAGGAATGAGTAGTATCTTCAATTTCACCCCATATGTAGCACATAGAAAGTTTTCCATTTGTCTAATTCGCTTATGTTATTCTGAGGAGCTGTTGCATTTGAGTAGGTTGTTTAGTAATAGATAAAAGAGATTTCTTGTTCCTGAACACTTGTATCGTACAGAAATTCACAGGATATTTATTACTTGGAACAGAGAAATAAAAAAGAACAAACTTCGTGGTAAAACACAGTTTGTAGGTTTATTTCTTATTCACCTCGAAAAGACCGTTTTATATGATCATTTTCATGCTTTATCTAGTTTTATCACCTTGAAACCATTTTTATTTTTTACCAAACTATGCAGACGATGATTTGGACCAACTTCAGCGTCTGAGGCGTCTTCGATTGGCTGCTGAAAAACGAAGAATTGAACTGGTTAAACGTTTACATAGTTTATATGTAAGCTTAGGAACCAGACGAACACAAGGTGAAACATACTTTATGACTTTTTTTTTAAAAAATAACTGTTGGTGTAACAATCTTCACTATTAATTTTAATCATGAAAAATGTGATAATTATATGTAGTAATGAAATAGTAAGCAGATTGTGAATTGTAGACAAACAATCATTTATGCGGTTGTGTATTATGCTAATGTTGTGACTTTTAATAAGGCAGGCCAAAACTATGACCTGTCTAGCGTTAGTGATATAAGAATTTTTATTTATTTATTTATTCAGACAACTATTCAGATTTCCAATGAGTTATAAACACGATTAGAAAAACCTGTTGTCTTAACTTTAAACCGCAGTAGTAAATAATTCTTAATAAGAGTGTAGCAGACAAGTCAAACATGCGTTTATTATTCTGTTGTTGTGCGCCAAAATGATCAATACCAATCCAATTGGCCAGGAGTGACAATTTAAGCTGACTTCATCCTGAAGATAGAGATGGAAATGTCTAGAGAGAGAAACAATGGAAGCTCATAGAAGGCACATCTACACCAAAATCATTCAGTTAAGTAATAATAAATTTCCTCCGTTATTTCTAGATCTACATATACCTAGAGCGTTTGTTGACCTGTAAAAGTTTTGTTCCCTAAATGAAGCGGTAGTCTTTGTGAAGTTATGTAGCTTCCCATGAATCTATGAACTCATTTTCCTCGCATTATCCGGAGGATTACAGAATAATGCTTTTAACAGTCACCGTCAAGAAGAAAAGAACTTTTATGCAGTGTTTGCCTTTTTGAAAAGATGGAATCAGTTGAAAAAAAATGTTTGATTGAGTCTGTGTGCGTTTCGTCTTAAACATGATCATCAATACGATGGCAACAGTAAATACTTTCTGTGTGGGTGTGTGTGTGTGTACGTCTCCGCATTATTAGTATGATCCACTGAATAAATTCCAACCTAACATAAATATTTCACGATAATTTTGTGTCCAAATGGATGAAATTTTTTATGAAAGTGGAAACTGTTTGTTTAACATGACTAAAAATGAACAGTAGAAGCGATGTCGCTATTTTTTTTAAATATATTACTTTCAAAACACTAACAGAGTGAGTGTTGAAGTCTGTTAATATGTTCACTTCTTTTTCTTAAACCTGTTTTTAATCGCCTTGGGAGACATCCATTTAACGGTAAATAGACGAAATATTTCCATGATTAATAGCCTGAGGTTATCAAAAAGCTCAGTCTTTGTGATATATATATATATATATATATATATATATATATATAATGCATTTGTTGTTACCTAATTACCTATCATTTGTGTTTCAAAATAATGATGGTAGGACGAAGTTTAATATTGTGTTCTCAAAGTGCACGCTGATCAATTTATTTTTACTGATATCGGAAAATGCGTAGGTGTCACTTTTAATGAGAAGTGCCACATGATCATTATTATTCTCTTCTTTTTGTGTTCAACATTTTCTTAAGTGTATTTTAGCATATGTACAATGGACGTGATTATTATTAGAGAAGTGAATGAATTGTTAGTAACTATACATTATAATTATCACGGTCGCCGTTGACTGCGAAACTAACTCCTTCGTTATACTGGCACTTCATTCCATTATTCGCTTTCGCTGTCCAGTACTCCAAGGTTTTCCAATGGTTCTCTAAATGATGTCAGCTCATAATGAAATCCTCCAGCCAATCAAACTAAATCATCACAAAAAACCAATACTTGAAAATTCATCCGATGCTCACTAGCGACTCGCCCTATTCAGGAAGTTAACCTAGAGTTCTAGTGGGAAGCTGTGACCAGTAGGGTGCAGCAGGTTGAAGGTGAGGCAGTAACTCATCGAAGAAGAAGACATTGTGAAGTGGTCGCGCTGTCATAAATTAGCAGAAGTTAGAATTCATGGACTGGCCATTGGATCGGTTCCCAGTGGCTTAATGATCTACGAGCTATCTCGCCTTGTAACCAGAAGGTCGTGGTTTCGAACCCCGTGATGTGGGTGAGTACTGCTGGCGAGTCTCAAAGTTGACTGACGAAACGGCTGTCTGGCAGTACTCTCTGTTGGTTTTCCAATGGTTCTCTAACTGATGTCAGCTCATGATGAAATCCCCCAACTATTCGCTTTCTCTTGACTAATAGTTGATTGTGATGTGATTAGTATTTTGAGAAGAAAGTAACTACGTTTAGAATAGTTGCCATGAGAAGCTGCTTGACTTTCGGTAGAGTCATCTGCTGAACACAGAAATTATTATTATTATTCTCTTGGGTTCCGAGAAGAGCATAGGGCTTCAGCAGCTCATCTCCACTTCACTATGTTGGCTGCACAATGGCTCATAAACTTTCATTTCCTTCCTACACTATCACCTGCATGTCATTCTCGGATGCCCAACTCATCGTTTCCCACTTGTGTTCCAGTCGAGGATCTCCTCAGTGTATGTCCAATCTGTCTCCACTTTCTTCTATATATTTATACTGTGATAGGTTGTTTGTTGGTTCACTGGCAGTGTTCCTTCTTGCTAACCTTTCCCGGTCATACAGTTTTTGAAATGAAGCAAAGGCAGCGGTTAATGAAAGTCTATAGTAGCCTGTTTAAAATGCTTTTTATGATGCACCAAGTCTCTGAACCATGTAGATGAACTGACTTGACATTAGTGCTGAAAATCCTGATCTTGTTTGTTATTGTTGAGTACAGTAGATTACCATACTAATTCCAGATTATTGAAGGTCTATGTTACCTTCCCGATCCTGGCTGGCTTTAACATCCTCATCTGTGTCGCCACCTGTAGTTGAAACGATAAAGCCTAGGTAATTGAAAGCGGTGACCTCCTTCAACTTCACCCCCCCTGTTGGCTAGGTATCTTGATTACCTCTGTCTTCTATATGTTTACTTGAGGTCGCGTCTTCGTTACCTCTTCTGTCGACTTTTTTGATTCCATGTGTAGATCATCGAGTTTGTGTGACATCAGACATAAATCATACGCGAAGTCTAGATCTTACAGTGTCTTCTCGTCGCTTCAACGTATGCAACAATACCTAGATTAAATATCATCCTTTCTGTCTGCATAAATATATCCCCATCTTAGAAGTTACAAGAAGGTGGAAACCCAAATAATACTTGATAAGTTTATATTAGAAACAAAATACTCAGCATTCATTGGTCCCCAGAAATCTGCTGTCCTATTTCTATTAACGTCTTTTTGACACTAATGGAAACACTAGAAGTTGTAGTGATTAAGTTCCTTAAAGTTTCAGAAATGCTTCATAGTCGGTAGATTCCTCTCTTAGGTGTACTTGTCATTAGATCGGTATTCTTGTAGCTTAGTAGTAGTAGTACAAGAGAAGTTAGTATTCACGACTGTTACAAAATTACGTAATGAATGCAATCAATTACCGTGTGTATTGTTAACAAGAATGGTACCAGTATCATCGATTTTTCACTTATATCATTTTATTTATTTAAAAGTTTACTAGTGATACAAGTATTTACTTGCTATCATTGACCCTATTTAATTATTCTTCTATTCATATATATATATATATATGCCAGTTATTGTGCAGTAAAATTCTTCACTAAGTAAATGATGGTATATTGTATCGCAATAGTATAGGTGCAATAGGGGATCAAGGAAATTAAAGAATGCAGGTTACTGACATTAAATACTGGAATTTGCCAGAGGTTATTGGTTAACACATAAAATACAATAAATACCACCCAGCCCACACTCTGAAAATAATATCTGGTGTGCTGATGATCATCTTTTTTTCAACCAACATCCAATTATCTGGTCAATAATAAACTCTGTTGGAATTTAATTTACAAGCTAAACCGAAGGTCAGTCTTATTTACGATCATTTCGTAGATAGGCGCTTAGCCGATCTAAGCAATTACATTTTTGAGATTTAAAAGAATATTAGTGACAACTTTTGTCACTGCTTACGTTCTGGATGGAACATACGGCTTAGTAACTGTGGTGTTATTTTTGGGGGATAGGCTTACCAGCCTCAAGCCTAACCTTTTCCAGTTTACTAATGGTTAGTGAATTAAGCGAGGTCTAGGAGTGCTATAGAGGGGAATCGAGCCCGTACCATGTGCGTGGTTAGCGAGTATTCTACCACCGAACCACCGACGGAGACCGAAGGTCGTAACTTACCGTTTTTGAAAGTAATCAGAATAAGATAGGTAGAAATATGGAGTTAATTAAAGTCTAAATTATCCCTGATTTATTTATTATCATTGGGCATGAACTTTTATGGATGACGACAGCCACTAGTCTACTAGTCTTGAGTAGTGTTAACTGTGGTTCAGAAAGACTAGGGATCACAACTGTCCTTAAGGTCCTGAGGGAGACGCAGGTTCCAATCTAACGGATAATGACTATCTACATCTGAAAATATACAGTAACGAAACCATTACCTGGTAGTTCTTGATTGCATGTAGAATATAACTCTAAGCTTGATGGAGAAGTAAAGCGAAGTTACAGGTGTCTCGAAAATAGATGTAACGGACAATTTTATGATATGCTACTGTGTTAATAAAGTATGAATACTGGGGTACATTTCACGATTTAACAATATAATTTAATTAGGCATAAACAGTTACCGTATTTTAAAACGCCTGTGCAGTACACAAATGGAACAAATAAGAACTGCGCTCAGTTTCATTTTCAATCAGTCAGTCTGAAAATTATCAACATATCAACATAATACTTGATTAATTCTTCCAAATTGTTTTTCTTAAAAAACGTTACAATTACACTCGAATTTTCTGTACGAAATTTAAAGAAACGTCTAATTTCACTTTGAATGCAGTTCTTTTAAAGACAGAATCATTTGGTGACCACTGTCTGATACGCTAGCTAAACGCACATATAATAGAGTGTGATTTCAGGTCTCGAACAGTCAGTGGTTCGGATATGTTAAGATGTCTATTTGAAGCGCTCTCTTTCGGTACTGTGAAACTCTGTGAATCACTTTGAAACAGTCATACAAGGGTGCCCAATGTCTAGATTTGACAAGATGCTCGTGAATACTGCTATTCATATTCTTCTTTTCCCCTCCATTTAGTCAAGCAAGAAAGCATGTTTAAGAACCTGATGCTATGTACCGCCGACATGCATTTCTCCACAGGAACAAGGGAATATTTAAATACACACTGAAGTGGCCAAGAGCGTTATCTGGTGATTTAGTTTCTGAAATGAAAATAGAACTCACCAGTCGTACATATATATAAACGGAATACAGTATAATAAATTTTTTTTTTTCAATAAATATAACTGAAGGAATTCTGACTGAATTAAAGAACTCTAAATATATCCTGCAACCATACAGTAATTAATATTAATTTAAACGCAACAGACAATAACAGTTTAAAACACTAATTATACCAGAATGTTTCTATAAGACAGAAAGACATACTATGAGATATGAATAGATTTGAAAATTGGCTTGTAATAGTGTTCTATCGTTTTTATTATCAATTTAAGAATTCGTTTGAGACATAGGCATATGATTAATATTCAAGTATTATATGTAAATGCTTATTCAGATCGGAACAAAACTGGAATATTTGACATTTACTGAGGTTTTTGTGACATTTCCTCCATTTTTCTTTAGAATAACAGAATGTTGATAATTGAATTTGATAATATTTTTGAATAGGCTATATTATTATTATTATTCCCTTGGGTTCCGAGTGGAACCTAGGGCTTCAACAACACATCTCCACTTTATCCTATCTTCTTCAGCTGGGACTAAGATTGCCCATAATCCCTCATCTCCTCTTCGCACGATCTCCTCCATGTCACCCTAGGAAAACGCACTCGTCGGTTCCCACTTGGATTCCACTCGAGCACTGGCCTGGCTCGCGATTTCATTCGATGGTCGCCTCAATGTATGCCCGATCCATCTCCATTTTCTTCTACTCACAAGCATACGCATAAAAATGAACTGTCAGAATCCCAGCACTTTTAATTATGATCTTAAAAAGGATATTTAGTTATAAAATGAGAAAGTCATGCACAGTAAGCGTTTGGAATAATTATAAGTCAATTCTTCTAATCACAAAGACATCAGTATGACTTCAAAACTAATAGGCTAATTTCGAAATCAGATGATTACACAATAAAATGGGTAACAGGAAACGCTATAATCATTTGTAAATTGTAATTGTATTAGCTATATAACCAAATGCAATAAATATCAAATACGCTTTACTAACTATTCAGCATTTTACTGCCTTTATAGCTCGAGATGAATGGAAACGTCGTTATTATTCCGCTAAAAAACAAGCTCCAAATCTTGAGTCAAGGATGAATGGGCACAGAGGTGACCTTGAATCTCTAATCAGAAGATCAATTACTACACTGAAACACATTGGCATAGACTCTGCAGAGGTAAGCTGAAATAAAGATCAAGACTGCAAGATTATTTTACAGTAGGCAAGATGCCTCTGACTTGTGATACACTATTCAAGAATATGATACAGGTTTTCAACCTACGCTAGAGAGTAAACTTGACATGTAAGAGATCATAGTATTAACTAGATATAAGAATAAAACTTGTGCACTGTGGTAGAGTGTAATTCCATTATGGGTAAATTTTGTTTTGATAAAGTCTCACAGTGTTATGCAGTAATGTTTACTGATGACGTTTCGAGCACAATTTATTGGATTACCTAGATATGATTATGAGTAGTAAATTGTGCTCGAAACGTCATCAGTAAACATTACGGTATTATCTAGATACTTAGAATTTGAGAAGTGTAGCACTCCAAGCTTACGAATTAAATTCAACCCTCGCGCCCCCCCCCCTGCTCCGCTATAACCAATAATCATATTTAGTTTAAACATAATTTCATTCCCAGATAGATTAAAATCCCTGGGAGAAACACTTATGCTTAGAGCAACTCACTGTTATGCCAATAAATAAATAATTATGTGAAGGTTGCAAATTCAAATTGGAATTTTCGATTATCACTACACAGTTATAGAATACCAGCTGTCATAATGATAGTCACATATCATGATTGATTTATTCTTAACGTATGTGGCAGTGTAAAGTGAGTCAACACTTTTCTTTTCTTTCTTTTAAATTCAGACTCAACATCTCGCTGAACTAATGGAGAAACGAAGAGAAGTAACAAAAGAAGAATACAGACTAGCTGAAATTATGCTCAGCTTAACCAAAGCCATCAGAGTGAGTTATTAATTTTGATCTATGTGGAGATGTAGCTTATTGGATACAGTATTTGATTGTGAATCAGTGAGTGGGGGGTTACAGCCCCAGCCAAGTCCAGCTACTTCAACCTGAGGGGTTGGGTAGTACTATTAGCCGTCATAAGGAGCATAGTCTGGTACATTTTAAGATGATGTAATCCTAAATAGTATTCGTAAGCCAACAGTCGTTTATTTTAGTTTTTTGGTATTAAAATAGTCACTTCTCATTACTTATTCGTAACTAAACTATAAATTTAGTCAAGTTGAGTTGTTCCAACATTGCATTACTTATCCGTCTTCTTTCATTGTGAGTGGTGAAAACTTCACTCTCCAGTGATACATTGTGACCATCGACTGGGATGTTATAATAGCTGCATCGTTAGTTGTGCCACATAAATCCACAGAGACTTGCTTAGTTATCATGAATATATGCTCAATACGTAAAATTTTTGCTTTGATTTATTCATATCCTAGTTCACAGCTTTCAGGATGGATGCTAGAAGTAGAAGATATGATCATGTGCATCCACGCTGATTGTCCGCATTAGGCAGAGCAATATCATATGTAGCGTTTAGACTATAGACATGACGCCGGTGTAGGAGTCTTTGTGAAATAGATTAAAAACCAATTACATTGGTGCAGATGTGCTCACCATTGACAACCCGATCATTATAATTACTCTTCATTGAATTTTTTAACCTCACATTCAGGTTTGTCAATTGTGAATAATGAATCGCTAGAAAACCGTTTCCATTTACATGCAGCTACATCGACTGATGATAGTATCAAGTTACTCATACCTCGTCCAGTAAAACTAGGTTCACAGTCATGATTTAAAGTCAATTACCCAAAGCAGTGGACTAAAACTCCACCTTATTTTCTATAATATCACTATAATTCGCTTCTTCCTTGTTAGATGTACACGAGTGCAGTAGCTTGAACTGATGCATGTTACTGCGAAATCCTATGTCTCGTAAAATTCTACCATGAATAAATTATAATTTATCTTTTATTTAATAGCTTCGATCGCAAGCTGAAACAGAAGGCAGACTCCTTAATGCTGAATTAGATCGTAGAAGAGGTGAAATGAGCTTGGTTAAATCCACATCACCAAGTCGAAGAGCTTATGCTTGTTCATTATCTCCTAGAAGAAGAACAGTACGTGGACCACTCGGCGTTTCTAGTCCAAAATTTAATAGACGAAGTACCGTAAGCCTATATGAAGGGCAACGTAAACGTATAAATTATAAAAGTTTGTCTCCAAATCCCACTCCCATTGATCAAACATCACAAGACTCAAGCAGTCCAGATGATAGCAAAGCATCAATCAAAATGAGGAGTGTACGTAGCCCGAAAAGTGGGATCCAAGTTCAAGGATCAGAGGTTAGAATAAAAACTCCAGATTTCGAAGTTTCTGTGCATTCTACCAATAATTCACCAGAGTTATAATATATTGAACTTTTAATATGAAAGCAAAGAACTTCAAAGACAAATGAAAAGAACATACATTGACATATATTATGAAATTAGGTTTTCTATTCGTATTTCTGTTTGCTTTTCTTTTAGAATAAAATAGATATACTAAAAACAAAACGAATTTCTAATAAATACAATAGGCGTAAAATGATTATTACAGGAAAACAAAACTGAGGTCATCTCAGTAGAAAAACAATTAGGTGATAATTTGATCATTATTACTATTCATTCCTTGTGTTCTGAATAAAACACGGGGCTTCATAAGCCCATATCAACTATACTCCGTTATCTGCTATCACTTCCAGCCAGCTCTACAGTTGACAACAAGCCTTCACTTCTTTTAAGCATAACTTTTTCCATTTCACCTTCGGAACCACGCTCAAATAGCTGCTTACCGTTCGGGTTCCACTGAGTGCCTCGTGTAGAGTGTGCTGTATCTCAATAGTCTCCACTTCTCTGTGCATAATTGCTAGGCACTGGGTTCTTAGTTGGTCCGCTGCCTGCTAGAGTTGCTTACTCCATCTAACCATAGTTATGAATGTCTGCAGTAGCAGTTAGGAAGTGCTTTTGGAGACGCGTATTTCAAGTCTCTGAAAAATAAAGGTACACTAGTTTGATAGTTGTGTTGAAAATTCAGGTCTCGTTCCTTGCATTGTAGATTTCCACCGAGTAATAAACGCCTGTATTTCTTTCCCGATTCGATCTTGAATGGCTTTGATATCTTCACATGTGCGGCTGCCAGTGCCGCCGCTTAGATCTGATATGCGGAAGAGATGAATTCACTTAGACTTATCCTACAAACGGTGATTGCTGCTTGTTAGTTGTGGGGTACCGTCATTAATTTCCAGAGTTCAGCTTGTTTTGGGCAAAGTCTACCATCTACGTTATCTTTCATTCTTCCAAGGAGTAGAAAGGAGCAAGATTCCGCGCCAGTTCTTGCACAGGCTTCAATCGATGTTCTTTGGAAGTTCCACAAGTCAGCCATTCTCGTAGCTGACAGGCATCTACCCTCTTTTCTTATCACACCTTCTATAGTAATAGTGGGAGCTTGCCCCTTTAGTTCTCTGGGTTAATCTTCAGTGATACGTTTCTACAGAGATTCCATCTGGTCGTGCCGCTTTCCCGGTTGACTTAGAATAACTTTATGGCTTTCAAGACTTCCCTTAATGTTGACTGGCAGTTCTGCCCGTGGTAGTATTTTTTAACGATTTGCAGATGGTGATCGATTCAAAATGCGTTTGAAGTGCTCAGTCTAGTATTTCCTCTCTCCTCTCCCATCACTTCGGTAACTGAGTTTCATCCGCTCCCTGAGTCTGAGTCAATCTTTTCCCGGTTTGATAATATGTTAACTAACCTAAGAAAACGAAGTAATTATCAGATCATGACACCATCTTTATAAAGTTATCGCTTTTGACTGTTGTATGGATAATCAATTTGCCTATTCCCAATGCATAAGCGCAATATCATCCAACTATGCAGTCTAAATGTGAAACGAAAACTATGAATATTGGAAAAACTGATTAACTGATGATTATGGTGTTCGGAGTAGAGTTAGTGTGCAAAAACTTTGACCAAGTGCATTAACTGTTATAAAAATCTTAGGAAATGAAGGAAAAACTTCCTCTGATAGTAAACCTTGCATTCTGTAGTAACTATCTCTCCTGAAATTAGTATTCCCTAAATATGAAGACGCGGGTTCGAATCTCAGAACGGACACGAGTTCCTTCAAACCTGGAGGTACGCCTTGCTGACTGGTGAATTCCGACTAGCACGAAACCTAGATGTCCAAGGCTTCCAGCCGATTGCCTCCAACCATCTAACATCAACAATGAGGAAAAAAACAGTGCACTTAGTCGTTAAAAATGTTACCTACATCTCCGTAACACTTGTTCTTATTTTCAAGAAAGCTTATTATGGTCTCAAAAAGCTTCCAATGCATAATAGCACTACTACTTCATGCGGAGGAGTTGTCATTCATTAGGCTGCCAGTAATTGATAATGAGAAGTCCTAATGATAGCTAGCAGGAGGCAAACACGACGACTTATGTTGTAAGCGTGGGAACTAAACATTTCTTTCTACCTTGAATTCTAATATTATAAGCAGATAATTATAAAAAAGAAAGTCAGTTTCGGATGAAATAACTCTTCGTCAATTGATCAAACAAACAAACATAGAAGGCAATGGTATAAGTAACAGAGAAAAGAATTTAGAATATATGGAAGCTTTTTTAATGCGACCAAAGCAAAAGATCAGAAAAGAAGAGAATGAATGGGCAATACATGTAAAGAATAGGAGCAGTAATTATACTTGGGTGTATAATATTAGGGGATAAAATATAGAATACCAGTGTTTGTTAAAGTCTACATATATTATATATATGCTTGAAAGGTAAAAAGCACCTGTTATTTATGCTTTGACAGATTAATTTGATAACATAGCGAAAACAAAAATATACAACATTTCACGAACTGATCAGACAGAAAAGCAAACTAGTATTAATTTTATGACGAATAATAATAATAATACAGATAACAATGGCAAAGAAGATAATAGTCAGAAAATAAAAATGTTGTTAGCATAGATACGTCAAGAATAGCAGGTTAAAGAAATTGAAAGAAGAACTGTACAACTCATTTTATAAACTAGTGTTTACGTGTAGGGAAAAAGTTCTCTTTTTTTTTTAAGAAAAGTGAGGATCACTTCCATACTCCTCCTCTCAATATTACAGGGCACACTAACTGATGGATTCGATGAACACACAATACAGGGAAAACACATATTATGATGGGAAAAGAATTTACAAAACAAAACAAAAAACTATAAATCAGTCAATCAATCAGTTTTTATATTATATAAAGGCAAAAAATGACTATGTAAGTGCATAAACAAGGAAGACCAATTGTGTTTAGATATAATCCACAGAACACAACAACAAATACATACAGTGTATGCTCTCTCGCCGGATGAAACAAAATAACATGGAGAATAGAAATTGAAAGCTATTATTAGAAGACTATCACACCACAGGTTTAACTGCAATATTAATAACCCAGACAATCACAAAAATTTGTTACAAGGAATGTGTAGCACAATGAAGTCGTCATCACACACCAAAAGACACTAACTTTTAGCAGAAATAAGTTCAAACACAATTTGGGAGAAGAAAGAATTGGAAATATACACTTTGAAAGATATGTATGTACGTACAATATATATATATATATATATATGTATAAGAAAAGTAAATATTAGAAAATAAGAGTAAGTATGAGAACACAGGCATAGATGCATCATGTGAATTGGTGTAGACAGGATGCACAAATATTAAATAAAACCCATGAAATACATAACCGGGAAATTTTAAACAAGCTTGAGAATTGTTAACAGATTTGCCATCAGCTTGATTTTGACAGACTTCAGCTTTAGGAAAAGAAAATCATCACAGTGTTCAAATTTATCTGATATGAAATAGCTTCGTGAGTTCGAAAAATCAAAAATAAGGTGAGTAGAAATTGGCAAATGGAAAACAGAAAAGTAAAGCTTTAAATATTTCATGTTTGATTCTTGGATTTTTCATCTCCACTTTCCGCTGGACTACTTGGTGAAGCAACATGCTGGACTGCAAATCGATGGCTGTGTCTACGTAGCCGAACCTGACCTGATGATACTAGGGCATTAGCTTGAACTGAGAACCTGTCGAGCTCAACGTTTTGGGTAGGATTTTGAGATGGATTTGTAATGGAGGCTTGAACGGATACAGCAAAGGTGTTAGGATTTTGAGCATTGGGCACGACAGAACATAGAGATCGATTACTCCTCGATGTCTTAAAAGCGGAAAAATCAATCATTATATTACTATAAACCAAATAAATGAACAAACTGGACAAAAAGGAGGATAAATATTAAAAATTAGATCCATGTATTAGGTAGGTTACGCGAGATGCACTTAATGAATAAGAGCTTTGAACACATAGTTTTCTAGGCCACAATAAATAAGTGATTCTTGGTTTCGAATTCTGAAGATATTACTTTTAAATCGAGTGGCACAATCAGAGAGTTCCAACTACGACACTATAAATATATGAATTGAATAGGTATTCATGATATAACAAAAAGTAAATAAAGTATTCACGATTGGTCTTTTTAACCGAGATACTGAGATTTTAAAAAATATGGGAACCATATAACATTTACGCAGCAATCAGTATCACCACTTCTGATTGAATTAAAACATATAAAGCATATAAATTAAATTCAGTATTAACTCACTGCAACAGGCCGTAGAGGATCACTATGTCTACACTGAGGTGTGTTGCGATTCTGTGCAATAAATGCAGATTTCGGCATTGGTTGACAAGTGAAAGTTAGCTTAAATGGAGAATTATCTCCATGAGAACTGACAAACTGGGCAGCTGAATGAGATGGGGCACGTAGACTACCAAAACGTGGCTGCTGAAATGGATTACTAGGCGGATGGTTAGAATCACAAGGTCGAGAAACCCCAGAAACAGAAGGACTTCCAGAACCAGGAGAACTGTGAGGAGACAATTCACCACCTGAATACCAACCGGAAGAACAGACTGAAGAACCAGATGAACTTGAAGTGACAGTCAATGATGGTCTATGATACGTAAAAGCGTTGTTTTGTTGCTGATAGTCAGATCTAGGACTTTGATGGGGTGAACTGTAGGGGATTACACTTCGCTGAGTATAAAGTGGTGGTGGATTGTTTGATGAAGATGATGTGTCATCAGTTGTAGGGAACATAGCTCGATGCTGTCTTTCACTTAACTGACGTATAAGAGGTTTTTCCAGAGATCTGAAATGAAAAAACATTGTAAATCCAATATGTTGTTAATGTTTTAAACAAAAACTAAATTTAAAAATAATCAAATCCAGTTATTAGTTTTATTACTACTAATAGTCTAGCAAGATAGAAAGGGGAGCTATTAAAGCGTGCACCCTTGTAGTTCATATTGAAAAAAATTGCTGAAAAGATTCACTTACAGTCTACATTTTATAAACTAATTCGACGAGAAAGGACTGATAAAACAGTTTTCATCATTTTTATTTTACTAACAGAGATGTGATATAAGATAGAAAGTGTAATAACACAGCACCATTAACTCTAGATTACGGATTGCAGAGATGATAATATATACGAACAAATCAGTTAACTACAAAAACATGCAACAATAGAAAAAACAACAATTTTAGCAGTTGAAACTATTAGAAAAATGTGAAATATTTAGCGTCCAAGCTTCTTTATTTAATAATTTAAAAGATTCAAAACACTCGCGTTTACTACTGAATCTCGCTCGCTTTGGAATTATTACTTTCATGGATTATATATTATAAACTGAAAATACAAACAAAATTTGTACTAACAACCTCTCTAGGTGTAGTTATTGTTTTTGGTATTTGAGATGAATAACAGGTGTTGTTGATGAATGACTCACTCTACGGTGATATTTGGCAGTGAGGCATTATTAACCCTGAAAATAATAATACTATATTATATTATGTATGCTATTGAAGCCATAGAACAAAACAATAGGAATTCAAGAGAGAGGATCAATCCTTGAAGATCTGAAAGTTGCATCACTCCTACTAGCATACCACTAATGACATTGATTATGATAACCAGCATGAGCTTATTGGAAAAGATAAATGAAAGATTAAAAATAAAGAAAGATAAATCCAGGTATAAATACCGATCTCACTCACCTTCGATGGGGTGGAAGAAATGAATTGTTATTTTGTGCAGTTTGATTACAACTCACTTGATTTGTACAAATTGGACCAAGAGTGATACCGAATCGTTGGGCAGCAATAGAAGCATATGTTTGAGTTGATGATTTAGGAGATGCAACTGACTGGGAATAACCACTTTTTGATCTGTCTGTTGGTATGTTGATAGGTACAGTATCCGATTGATTGAAGCATGAGTTCAAATTGGTATCCGGTTGAAGACAATGAACTTTTGGTTCTAAATTTCCACTATTTAAATGACGATGTCGAGCTTCTCTAACTGTCAGACGTCGAGTTATGCGTTTAGCAGCCTCATCATTTTGCTTTGGATTATTCGATGCGCAGACTGAAGCATACGATTTCATATCAAAAGGTGTTGATGTATTATCATTGTGTACTTCCGGAGAATTAGAATGACTACTTTTAAAGGTGCTACACGGCCCATAAGGTGCAGATATTTGTTTATCGGCGTAATGACTTGAATATTTAGTAGTACAAGCAGTACTATTATTATTGTTGTTTAACAGTTGATCTGTTGGAGAAGCACGAGGTACGAGACGGCCAGAAGAACGATATGGGCCATCAGAACGAATGAATGTTTGACTAATTGGAGTTGCATGTAGGCGTAAAGTATTACCGCTCTAGATATTTAGTTTTTGTTGAAGTAAAAAGCGAAATAGCATTATTTTTTGCAGTAGTGCATTATGTATTGTTAATAATTATCATTATAAAAAAAACACGTGAAATATGATAGTAGAGTGAAAAAAGTGAATACAGCTATATGACTGACTGACTGACTTCAATATAAAACTTTGCACCGATATGCAGCAGTTAAAGTCGCCACATTCCATGTAGCATACAAAGCAAGAGAAGAAAGTAAAAAGAAATGCGAAACAGAGACAGTAAACAGGGATGTAAGGCAAAAATAATTGTAATATGGAAGAACACTAGAGTTTTATTGGATATGATAAATCACAAGGAGGGGATGCGTCTGCACTAGGCATTGAGAACGATTTTGAGCCATATCACCAATTGTCTCCAGCCTTCATTGGTTTTCACCATCTTCAGGACCCCAACCAGGAAGCCCACACCTACCTACGTGACTACAAACCAACAGTCAAACATTTCGTGGACTGATTCCAAGTTTTAGTTTGACAACTACCAGATCTTTTCCAACTTGATCCATCCCTGTGTCACCTAACATTGCCCATTGTCGAGGAAGGCGATGGCTAGGCATCCATGCCTAACACATGTCCTCACCATCTCAATCGGTGTAACCTCACAAATTCCTCGATTGATTTCCCCTCCTTACCTGTTACTCGACGTCTAACTTCAATATTGCTCACCTTATTACACCTAACACTTAACACGTGAGATAGAACGCAGACACCTATGATCAAGGGCAGTTAGGATTTTCATGTCTTCCACTCTCAATGGCCACGTCTCACAGGACTGATGAGCGGTACGCACGCCCTTTGGTCGATAGCCAACCGGATATCACGTCTACGCCAGAGACAGCGTAAACTGGCATGTGCCAAACGAGCCTCGTGTATCCGTACTGAGACTTCGTCAGTGATCGATCCGCTGGTACTGGCTGGTACAACTTCCCAAATAGGTGAAGTGATCAACTCGCTCTACCACTTCACTCCCTATTTCCAAGCTACGAGTCAATGTGGTGCAGTTCTGTAGCATCATCTTACATTTGGCGGGAGCGAATCGCATGCCAAACTTTCGAATATTGCTGCTCCTCAAGGTGTTCAGAAGACTCTGTATTTTGTCAGTGTCTTCACTCAGAAGGACTATATTATCCGCATATTCCAAGTCAACGAGATTAGATATAGATGAAATGAGATATAATGAATAGATATATTTTTGTAATCAAAACGCATTATTTGCAAATGACTTGACCAATTCACAGTCTTCACATTCAAACGGGACAATAGACTGTTTGCTGCACAACTTAACTCAATGGATTTTAAGTTATACTAACTAGTAATCAACCAATTGGTGGACTGAAAACTTGACAATTGGCCGATTGAATGACACTTGGCATGGAAGACAACACCCTTCGGTGTATTATTTAAATTTACTTCCAATCATATGTATATACACTATACTCTTCACTGTTTTAATATTGTCACACGGTCTGTTACCCAGATACCAGTCAGTGTTCCCAAGTTTAGACTTTATCCTTAGTTAGACTGTACCAGGAATGCTCATTATCCATCTGTGTCAATTAGCAATGATGTGTGAGTTTAACTGAAGCCACATATGCATTTCTGCAGAGATATACTTTATACTTCAGAAACATACATATATACGGCATCTTGACGATAAAATGATCATAGAAGTGGATTTCTCTTAGCTCAGTCATTATTAATTAGAAGTATAGAGGTAAGAAGGCTAATACTTACGAAAAGTCTCTGCAAGGACCGTGAACAGTGGTGGGTGACAAAGGCGAAAGAGATGGAAAAAGCATCGGCGATAGGCAACACTAGGCAACTCTTTAGACTCATCAGGGAAACGGGTGGGAGAAGGCAAATCATAAGTGAGACTATTTGTGAGAAAAATGGCTCCTTAATTAGCTCTCAGGATAGACGCCTTGAACGCTGGAAAGAACACTTCGAGGAACAATTTAACTTGCCTACAGCCACACTGAGCCTCCCCGCCATCCAGCACACACCGGAATGGGATAGACACTGGCCCGCCGTCTGTAAGTGAGGTCACAAAAGCTATCTGTAATCTGAAACGAGGCAAAGCGGCAGGACCCGACGGAATTATTCTGGAGGTGCTTAAATATGGGGGTGACATACTAGTATGCAGATTAACTAAGGTAATAGGTAACGTCTGGGAATCAGAAACGGTTCCATCACACTGGGGTAAGTCACTTTTTATACCAATATTCAAGAAGGGAGACAAGTCCTCATGTGATAATCATAGGAGGATCAGCCTGACGAACACAGTCTCTAAAATCCTAGGCTTAGTAATCATGCACAGACTAAGCAGAACTCGGGAGGAACAAACCAGGGAAAATCAAGTAGGCTTTAGGCCAGGTAGAGGGTGCATAGATCATATATTCACTCTCCGACAGATCCTAGAACATAGACACACTTTTCGGTGTCCAACAATTGCCATATTTCTTGATTTGAAGGTGGCGTTCGACTCCGTGGATCGAAAGGTACTATGGCAATGTCTGACTGTGAAGGGAGTGGCAAGAAAGTACATTGCACTAATCAAGGCACTCTACTTAAACTCACGTAGTCGTGTAAGGGTTTATGGGGAATTGTCATCTGAATTGATAACAACTAGTGGTGTCCGTCAAGGATGTCCACTTTCCCCTTTTCTGTTTAACTTCATCATAGATATGCTAATGGAAGTATCCTTAACTGAACTTAACGACTTAGGAATCGACTTGTTACCAGGGAACTTAGAATATGCAGATGACATAGTCCTGTTAGGGGAGGATGCTGACAAAATGCAGAGTCTTCTGAACACCTTGAGCAGCAATCTTCGTATGTTTGGCATGCGATTCGCCCCTGTAAAATGTAAGATGCTGCTACAGATGACTGGACTACGTCAACTCCTAGCTTAGTGATAGGGAGTGAAGTGATAGAACATGTCGACCACTTCACCTATTTGGGAAGTTGTATCAGCACCAACGGACTGATTGGTGACGAAATCTCAGCACGGATCCAAAAAGCTCGGGCTGCTTTCGCTAACTTACACCGTCTCTGGCGTAGGCGTGACATCCGGCTATCAACCAAGGGACGTGTGTACTGCTCAGCAGTTCGCTCCGTCCTTCTCTATGGCTCTGAAACATGGCCAATACGAGTTGAAGACATGAAAAGGTTGACTGTTTTTGATCATAGATGTTTACGATCTCTTTCTCACGTTAGGTGGTATAATAAGGTAAGTAATGTTGACGTTAGGCGTAGAGTGTTGGGCAAAGAGGGAAAATCAATCGAAGAGGCTATAAAGTTACATAGATTGAGATGGCTAGGTCACGTGCTGCGCATGCCTAACCATCGCCTCCCCTAACGGGCATTACTAGCTGATATAGGTGCAGGTTGGAAAAGAGTAAGTGGTGGCCAAACAAAAACATGGCATCAATCCATGAAATCCTTGACAGTTAAACTGAGTCAGGTAGGGAGATGCAGACTTCCGGGTTGGGGCTCTCGGGACTCTAAGAATCAATGGCTGGAGACAATAGGTGACATGGCTCAAAATCGTTGTCAATGGCGCAGATGTATTCAGTCTCTGTAATCTTTCATATTCCTTTCTACCATTACTCATTCTGTTTCACTCTTATACTTGTCAAAACTCTATTGATTCTCTTCACTCATTTTCTTGTCTACCTTTGTGTGCCATTTGGAACGTGGCAACTCGAACTGCTGCACTTCGGTGCCAAGTTCTATGTTGAATCCAGACAGACAGAGACAGAAGGCTAAGGCATACACTTAATGATTTTTATGCCGTTTTTCAAACCACATTCAAGAAACTGACTGGTCAAGTACTATTTTCATTTATCAAAATTACAATGTTTATCTTAAAATTCAACTGGGAAAAACAAGAGGAGATTACAGACAGATAAGCTAACTCCACAGTGCCCAAGTTTTATACTTATATCAACAGATAAGCTAAGAATAGTAATTATAAGTATAGCCATTTCCATACCACTAATGAATCGGAAAACAAATCAAGAAAGATATTCAAAGATAAACGATAACTAGTGAAAATTGATTTTATTATATCGATTGTAAGAAAGCACTCCGTTTTTATAGCAAATGCCACCATGACCAGGTATAAAAGTGAAGTGAAAAATAACCGATATTTACCAACAGTTAAGAAGGAAAATAGATAGACCGCTGAGTTTCAACTCCGAAGCTGAATATATAATAAAGTATTTACTACATAACCAGACTCTCTTCAGCTGAGTTTTAGCCCACAAGGTAGTATTGTGTGTATGTACTACTGGGGATTATGAAGGCTGACTGCACTGATTCCCCAAACCCTTTCAACTAACAAAAAAGATACATTGAGGTAAATTAATTCCGTACAAAAGAACATTGTAGGCAAAAATAGTGGATGTCTTAAATTAATTATCAACTATTGGTTTTGTAGGGAATTTTATTTGATTGGTTGGAGGATTTCATCCTGAGCTGACATCAGTTAGAGAACCATTGGAAAACCAACATGGAGTACTACCAGACAGCTCTTTCGTCAGCCTAGTTTGGGACTCTTCATTAGTACGCACTCACACCACAAGGTTTGAGCCCAAGACCTGGTTACAAGGCGAGGTAGCTCGTAGGCCATAAAGCCATTGGGACCCGATCCAACGGCGCATGAATTAATTAGTAAAATGGAAAAGTTCAGTGAATCGGATTCCAGAGATTAAGCGATATACATATGTGAAACTCAACAAAACTAAGCCTTTCTCAATTTATAGACGCTCTCCTTTTGATGACAGGAATATGTGTATAGTGCAATCTTAATTTACTCACCACTGAGTGCATAAAATATGGGTTTTTAATTAAGATACAGTAAAATAAATATAAGCGGGTATATTACCTGTAAAATTAACTTGACAACATCTGTATGGTACATTCCAATGGTTGATACATCATTAATGCTCAAAATCAGATCAGCTTCTTTGAGACCAGCTTTGGCTGCCGGACCATGAGGCACAACTCCAAGTACAAGATGATGCAGTGTATATGCATCAGAGCGACCAAAAAATACTCGGATAGCTCGGAAAACAAAACCATAACCTTGTTTGCCTTTGTGAATTACTATGGTCTGACGCGGAATTCCCGGTGAATAAGACAAAAGTGGTCGTGTTAGGGGAGTATTGGAACACACAGGAGGATTTGGTAGGTATGTATTTCGCGATGAATTGTCACCGACTAATAACAACTGAGGTTGCTGCTGCTCAGCTGACGACAGAGAATAAGGAAAAGACGCATTCAAGTGGGATGAATAGGGTACAACACCTTGAAATGGAACAGGTGACGCGTTCTTAAAAGACATAGATGTATTTTGAGTGCCATGGTGACAATCTGCACGTGTCATTGATCTTAATATTTGATGGGTACTTAGATGATCATTTTCTGGTTTTAAATCAACATTTAAAAACCATGGACTTTTATGTGAAGTAGAATCATGATCAGTTAGAGTAGAGTAAAGCGAGTCTGTATGAGGTATTATATGAGGAGTAACAGTAGTTAGTGAAAGCGATGATGTTGAAGATGATGAATTGGAAATCGATTTAGCAGAATAAAGGGACGTATTCCCAGTCATATGTTCGCGAACAGGTGGAATTAGTGGTTTTACCAAGGGATTTTGATTAAGTTCAGGAGAAATATTGACAGTATCCATGCACATTGTTGCGTTTGACTCATTTTCATCCGAAGGCTTGTCAGTAACGTGAATGAGTGAATCATGTGGTGACAGTTCTAAACTAGAGTTAGAATCCGATTCTGATAATTTTGAATTTTCATCAACATCAGAAGTAGTGGGACATTCATTTGACTCCTTGAGACGACTCGGATGAACAAAAGCTTTGGTTTCAGTTGTAGGATGAGTGATTGTGGGAATAGCAACGTTAGAGCCAACGACATTAGATGGTGAATGATCATTATTCAAATATACTGAGCCATCTTGAGTATCACATGGTTGAGCCTAAGGAGGAAGCAGAAAGCAGGCAATTAGAAATATATTTTCCCAAACAGTAATAATGATACTTTAAAATAATAAAAAAAAACTGAAAGAAGCAAAACACAACAGAATAGTGATTCCTAACACTGATAGCTTAATTCACTTAAATTCAAAAAATAGACGGTGTCAATAATCAAAATGTCCAAGTGAATACTACCTATTCTGACACTACAAAAGACCTATAGAAACATATGTCTCATACAAGTGGTCTGTGTATAACTGACTGACTGACGTCCAACGTAGAATTTAGCACAGAAGTGCACCAGCTTAAGTTGCTATACTCCACATAGGACACGAAGGTAGCGAAAAAATTCAGAAGAACTAATATGGGCAGAAATGTACAGGAAAAGAATAATTACATGGAGAAACATGAGAACCTAATGGATCTCGGAGATTACAAAGAGTGAGTGTATCCATGCCATTGAATCTTGGCATCCAACGGGTTTCAGCCAAGCAGTCTATACCTCTCTATGTGGATCTAATATACGCTGTGAAAGACCTTATAGATTCATGCCAGGTTTCAATTTGACAACAACTAACACCTTTCCAACCTAATCCTCTCTTTGAAGAAGGCGGTGGCTCGGCATGCGTAACACGGACCCAAGCTTCAGAATCGTATTGATCGACTTGCCTTTCTTACGTAACACTGTGTATAGCTATGCATGTAATAAATGGATCTCATATTAAGGGAAGGTAAACAATATTTCTTGTCCTCGAATAAGTATAGACAAAAGTTATGATATTATGAATTCTATTGGAAAAACTTACATCTGATGATTGAGAGATATTTTTACTACCACTCTTCTGTTCATCAGAAGACAGGTTGTCTCTCTTATTCGAATTCGACAACTGTTCATCTGTAGGTGGCAGACATACATCCTTAGAAGTTGCGAGACTTGAATGCTTGACATTTGAGTCATTATGTGGAGTAAGATGCAAACGAGGTGGTGAATTATGAAGTGGACTCTTTTCATTATTCGGATGATCTGAATCATTTAAGGTCATATTCAAATTATTTTGTAAGAGTTCATTCAATCTGGCTTGTTCTAACACAACTGAGAAGCGAGGAGAGTACGAAGAGAAGTAGTGAAATGTACGTGATTCATCGCCAACATTTTGAGTATCATCAACATCATCATCAGAAAATCCACGCTTTGTGACATCGATATTCAGCTTCTCCAGCTTTACTCCAGACAAAACAGTTTGCTGATGATTGGCACTACCGCTTTCCAACTTTGGAGATGATGAATTTTCTGTAGTACTAGAGGTTAATGATAAATTTTGTAACATGTGTAATGCATTACGACCAGCTACAGATTCTGCAGTTAAAGTGGATGTTACTGGGTCGTGTTCAACTTTTTCAGGTTCATATTTTTGATGGCATAAAGAACGCTGAGAACTAGCACTGCTGAGTTCTGAATGAGTAAATGATTGTGGAGTGTTTATGGGAGAGTCACGAATACTTCGACTTTTAGAACGTGATTTAAATGGTTGAAGATATAGGGTATTGTTGTCACCTAAACTATGACTACGTTTATGTTCAATTGCCTGTTGTTTAGCACGTCCAAGACGGGAAGCTGCAGGTCGCCGGATAACACTAGTTAAACTTTGATCAGTAGGAGAATTAAAACTGAAATTCCGAGTAACTGACATTTGAGGAGCAGGAGAAGATCGGTTACTATGTGATGAATAATCCATAGGAATATATATATCCTCGTCATTTTCCACATCATGCTGATAACGATCAGTGCGTGGATCAAAATAAGAAGTATCTTCATCATGCTCAAGTTGGGGTACAAAAGCAGCCTTTTGCCTTAACAAATTATTCCAATCTACTGCACTAGGTCCAGAGAAAAATGGAGTCTCTTTAACCTCAGAAGAACCTCCAATAGTTCCAAGACGAAGTAAAGGGTCTCGTTCAAGAAGTTTCGTTATTATATCCACAGCTGATGGAGTCACCTTCCACTCTTCCTCTTCAGGCCAATCGATTGGAGCTGAAAATGTATCAGACAGAAGTTAATAAAAAATTAATCTAAATAATGAAAGCGTGCAGTGTTATAGCGCCTGTTATGATTTCAGATATTTCATTTCCAGAACTAGGCTCCGTATATTTTTTTAACAAATAAATTAAACTAAGCATGACTTTTTAGACACAACGTTAATGAATATTACTGGGAAATATCTTCAGAAGAAACAAGACGAAACAATGACGAAGTTATGTACAATGGGGATAGAGATACTGGTACACAACTTGAATGTATTACCGAATTACAAGTTTTTTCCACAATTTGGAAAGCAAATTTTTATCCTCCGATAATAATAATTAAGCTGAATGATTCAGACAAACGGTTTTCAATGAATACATTACAGGTCTCAACTGAAAGCTGCAGACTTCACATGAACATGTATATTTGATGCAATAAAAAAGTGATTCGAAAACACGACATAGACAGTTTGATCCGACGATCTGAAATTGTTTTTGGCACAACCACTTTCATGATATACTCGTGAAATACTACTGAAGCACACTGATGTGATAAGGGTTATGGACTTGACTTATCGATAAAAGGTGAATGACAATCAAATAACAATAAATGCCAAATAGAAGTATCTCAGTAGTCCACATGACGTTCGCGAGTATTCTGTTTAAAAGCCTCAGTGTGAGACAAATGTCATAGTATTATTATTATGGGCAGAATTCTCAGCCAAACAAACTGACACTGAATTCTGTTACCTGTTTCCAGTACCTGACAGAAAAAAGGATTAGTTTAGTGTGAAGCTACAAAGCCCAAGGATTTCTTGAGGCCACGTATATACACAACCGACACACCTTAAACTAAGTCCATTTGTTTGAATAAACAGCCATACTTCCTATAGCAATGAACAAAAATCAAAATTTTAAATTAGTTACGTCAGATGGATATTAGTTTCGTCAACTATGCAATAAATACATCTAAAATAATCACTTTAGAAATCGCACTTAAAAGCTTTCCTTTACAGTGTGCACCCACTCAATAGGCTTTACTTTCAGTTCAATTAGTGATGCTGTCTGATGTTCATGCACATTTAGATGAAAATAGCGAAAAATCACACAAAAACAGATTTCAACACATTTTTTAAGTAAAAAAATATTATAAGCGATATGATAAGTAAGTAACTTGGTAATTGCATTTTTTAACCTAGATTTTTTTCGGCACAAATGAATACCAATAAGTTTACAGGTCAGGGAACATAAAAGCTTAGTAGGATATTGAAATAACGGGATAAGCAATACACGTGTGCACATGGAAACTAAGCGTGGTTAGAGAAAACACATAAGTAAAATCAGGCTACATGAAATAGGAAATTTGCAGGAAGAAAAACATGAATGAAAAATCAGATATTGATTGTGTTTTTTCTCTCTCTTCAGTTGACTGTAAGTGTCCGAAAAATAAGAGTGCTTAAATAAAACCACTATCGATTATGAAAGCATGTGGTTAGTTTTGCATAGTTCGTGTGCAATAATAATAATGGTAGAAAAAAAAAGGGAAGAAAAAAGCACAAAGGAGAAGGTATGCATTTGTGACATTTTAGTTCACTCAATGGCCTGGAATTTAGACTATTTTGCAAAAGAAAAAAAATGCAATTACACAAGCAAACACAATGTGTAATATTAAAAAAAATAGCATACCTGTTACAATATTATCGAAAAGTTCCTCTATAGTGCTACCACAAAACGGTACACATCCGACGAGGAACTCGTATAACATGATGCCCATAGACCACCAGTCAACAGGTTTCCCTAGGAGATAAAATAAACAAGGATAGATAAAACTGTGGTAATAAAACAACAGCTTCAGTGAAATCCCAATATCTTGTTAATTTTCTTCAGGTGTGGTATACACTGAGACATTCCCAACATATTCGAAACTAGGAACTATATATTTGCAACCGGCAAATGTAAATTGAAAGGAAGAACACTGCCATTAATAGGCATAAAGACGGTGTCGCCTAACCCAGTAGTAGCCTTCTCGTAAATACGTTTTCAGAGATAACACTTATGCTTTTTAATCTTAAGATAACACCGTTTCATCAAATCAGTGTGAAATTGACCAGTTATGTTAGATGACGAGACAGAAAACTTATTTTCCTGAATAATACACCTTGAATAACTATTTGGGAACTTTCATATGTTTCTCAGTCTAGTATAAACGTATTTTTGTTGTACATAGTTTATGTTAAATGAACGAATCCGTATCAGTACTTGTGATGTTCATGCTACTTAACACTCGAAACATCACGGTTGAAATAAATTTCGGAAAAGTGAGAGCAGTACATTTTATCAATCTATGAGAGTTTCCACAACAAGCAGATTACTACATACGGAAATAGATGTTCTACTCCGTCCAATATTAAGTATGACTAATTCTTAGTATTACTCAGTCGCGAAGTAGCTGGTAAGAATTCTTGAACCAAAGGCACAATCTCTGGGGATACATGTGATTTTGTTGATTTAACTGAAAATGTCAATTAGTTAGGTAAAAAAAGACTCCGCTCCGCTTGTCACTGATATTGGACTAATAGCAAACGTCCGTTTGCATACCTATCCACTGACTGAAAGAGCTCTTACTCCGATATACTTTCAACGTATACTACAGATCCAACAAAGCAATCTACAGACACATAGATGGAATAGGAAGGAACCATCTTGGCCTACTGTTTTATGACAAGCTTAGAAAACACTATCTTATCAACAACAATCAATGAGCTAAAACTCTGCACGAGATACATTGACGATACTGTGTATATTTATGATACGAATTCAAATTTCGAAAACAATGAACACCAAAACATCAACTTCACCTTATGAGTAGAATCTGGCTCAATATCTCATTTCTTCGGAAGGGATGATATTTCACTGAGATCTATTTACAAAAAGCCTGCATAGGGCGCGAAGAGTTTATCAATTTTCAAAGTTATGCCCCCGAAAATACAGAAAGAGGAGTCTCATTCATTAACTTTCCTTAAGGATCCGGAAAAGATACACTGTAAAATCTGTTGACAAAGAGAGTTGCACAATCTCCGAATCATCAAAGGAAGTAGCTTCTCATCCAGATTCATGGACAAGAAACTGGAACCGAAGAGACCTGTTCAATAGATACGGGTTGCTCACCCTCCACAAAGATTTTGCTGCTGAATCTCGAATAATTTAAAAGTGATGGAGAGACAGAGAAATTCTCAGAATACAGTTTAACTGTCGCTGGCAGACTGTGGATAACATTTTTTGGGCAGAGAATATAATTTAGTGAACAAACTATGCGTAAACATCGTAAACTGATGATTAGATAAAGCAACACATAGTTCTAGGCAATTTTAATCCACATTTTTGATTGTTTTGTTGTAGTAATGGATAACAACTGAGGTGAAAAATTCACCTGAAAGGAGTAGTATACGAGCTTTACTATTCAGAAGCAAATAGTTTTTTTCACCGATATAACAAAAGATGTTCTGATACGAATTTTAAGCGTGAATAAACAAGAAATGCTTCAATGGTTTTTAATGTCCCAGGGAAAATACACATAATAATGATGAAATGCAGTCTCTATTGTAATGCTAACACACTCGCGTTATTCTTTAACATAATAAACAATTACTATAGATAATATGTAATTAATCTGCGAAAGCATAAATCGACGAAAAAATAAAGGTCAGAAAAAAGAAAAGTACAGTTACCATAACCCTGACGAAGAATCACTTCTGGTGCAATATATTCCGGTGTTCCAAATACTTGTTTATCACGAAACATTTTACAGTCCTTTTCCAAATCTAAATTCTTCTCATATAAATTGGTGGCTAAATTCATTAGACCGATTCGTGATAGACCAAAATCAGTCAACTTGATATGACCTTCATGCGTTATCAGTAAACTATAATATATATAGAGGAGGTAATTTAAAAAAAAGAAGCGCAAATTAACACTGAATAAAGCAAATCCTTAAGCTTACAAAAAACTGATGACAAATCACTGTTGTATAATAAAAAGTACTAGTAAGTAATGTAGGAGAATACGCAACAGTCAATTGAGAACTAACTATCAAGGGAAACCTTATAATAAATATTGTTCAGTTTCCTCCATAACATTATTAATTAACTAAAACTGTTATGCTCCACACACACAGTGCTATTCTTTAACCGTCTGTGAAAATAGTACTCTACAGATAACAAGCCCATACAAGTCACACTGAAATTGTCAACGTAAACAAAGATATAAATGACATTCTATACATTATTTTTTCTTACTACTTTTTGTTGTTGCTTTACTCAGAGGATGATAGCTTATTTGATGATGACGATGATAATATAATAAAAAGCTTATTTACATGATTGTATGTTGACTTACGCGATAAGATAAAAATATATAATGCTATACATCACAACACAAAGGATAAGAGTTTAATATTTTCAGTAATAAAACTGTCAACCTAATATAATTCATTGCATAGACGTTGTTAAGTGAAACGCACCAATTATCGATTATTGTCTACAGAGCCTAGAAATTACTGAACACAGATTTATACGTGTTAAATGACGACCAAGAGTCTGATTTATCACTGTGATTGATAAATGCATAACGAGTCAAATAGTTGAAATAAGTTTCTTTTGCAAAACCAGTTCATGAAATATATATATATATCTCGCACCATGATATTTTAAACGGTATGAAGGACGCAGGCAAAATATTTAAGGCGATAGGCACTAAATAACCGAATAGTTTGACTTCATTTGTCTCACTAATTTGAAGCAATAGAGGTACACCGCAGATGACCTGTATTCCAAACAAGTGAAACGGACTACCACTGATATTGAGATCACCACAATCTGGTTGACTTGAGTGATTCCTCACTACTCATTTAAATCAGCGGTGTGTGTGTATATATGGTTGAATTGGTGAATATGAACCTAATTATCCAAGTTCATTATTTATTAAATATAAGAAGAAGGCTGATAATTATCTTAGTATAAAGAGTTGAAAACAAACTGAACAGATTTATGAAACTTGAAGATGATGCTACAGAACTACACTACATTGACTCCTAACTCAAAGATACGGAGTGAAGTGGTAGAGTGTGTTAACTACTTCACTTATTCGGAAGGTTGCATCAGACCCAAAGGGGCTGGTCGTTGGTGAAGTCTCAGCACGGATACACAAGGTTCGTGTGGCATTTGCCAACTTGTATCATCTCTGGCGTGTACGTGATATCCAGCTGGCTATCGTCAATTAAAGGACGTATGTACTGTTCAGCAGTCCGCCCCGTCCTCCTTTATGGCTATGACACATGGCCACTGAAAGTGGAAGACATGAAAAGCCCAGCTGTCTCCGTTCTATTTCCCATGTTAAGTGATAATAGTCAGTAATATTGAGGTTAGACATCGATCGAGTGCTAGGTAAGAAGGGAAAGTCAATCGATGAAGTTGTAAACCTAAATTGATTAAGGTATCTAGGACTTGTGTTACATATGCCTAGCCATCGCCTTCCTCGACAATGTGCAATGTTAGCTGATATAGGATGGATCAAGTTGGAAAAGAGCTAGTAGTGATCAAACTAAAACTTGGAATCAGTCCATGAAATCTTTGACTGTTGGTTTTAGTCACGCAGGTAGGCGGTAGAATGCTTGCCAGCCATGCAGGTGGTCCGGGGTTTGATCCCCGGCTGGCGCATTCCTTTACCTCGCTACACCAGTAATAAGGTTGGTGAAGAGCAAAGGTTGGGTTATGAGGCTAGCAGCCCCATCCCGTAAAAATAAACACCACTGCTACAGAAACTTCAAGTTTGTAGCTTTAAGCTTTATGTTCCACTGGGAACGTAAAGGAATAAAAAGGTAGATGTGGGCTTCCTGGTTGGGGTCCTCAGGATGGTAAAAAAGACAATTAGTGATATGGCTTGAAGTTGATCTCAATGGCGCAGATGTTATATCTATTTAAACCCTTTTGTCTTTCTATGTTACTACTCTTTCTACCTCACATTTTTGCTTATTATTGTTTTTTTCGGATCTCATTTTCTTCTCTGTTTTGTCTATGTTTATATGCTACATGGAGTGTGGCAACTCGAACTGCTGCACTTCTGTGCAAAATTCTATATTGAAACCAGTCAGTTACAGTCAGGCAGAAATACTGTTGACACTAAAAATGCACTCTCTTCTACATGAATATGTGAACAAAAATTTAACTCGTAATTTAACATTGGTACGTCTTAATAAATCAAGTAGAATGATATAATTAACTTTTATCTGTTAAATACAGGCCCACACGGAGATAAGCAAAGGAGAGTACAAAAAGGTATTATTATTATTATTATATTATCGTTATTCCCTTGAGTTCCGAGTGGAACATAGGACTTCAACAACACATCTCCACTTTGTTCCGTTTTCTGCAGACCTCATCAACTGGGTCAACGATTGCCCGTAATTTCTCATCTCTTCCTCACCACACGATCTCCTCCATGTTACTCTAGAGCCGACGATCCACTCGTCGCTTCCCATTTGGACTCCACTCGAGCCATGGTCTGTCTAGCGTGTGATATCGTTCGACTATCTCCTCAATGTATGCCTGATCCATCTCCCTTTTCTCCCATATATTTGTTGATCGATCGGCTCTTGGTTGGTTTGTTGCCAAAGTTTCTTGTTACTTATTCTTTCTGGCCATTTGATCTTCAGTATGGAATGAAGGCATTGGTTGATGAAAGTCTGAAACCTGTTAGAAATACTTTTCGTGACACGCTAGGTTTCTGACCCGTATAGAAGGATCGACTTCACATTTGCGTTGAAAATCAAACCTCGCCTAGTTAACTAGCTTGCTAGTTTTCTAGCCGGTCCCAAGCCCGGTTAAAGAGGGAGGGTTGGACGTGGGGCTAGCAACCCTACACCAAAAAGCTATCAAACTCATAGAGAAACTTCAATGCACAAAAAATATATTATTTATTTTATTCCTTCACGTTCCCAGTGGAACATAGGGCTTCAAGCTAGAGGCTTGAAGTTTCTGTAGCAGTGTTACTAGTCTCATGCCCAACCTTTCCTCTTCACCAGCTTTATTTCTGGCTTAGTGAGGTAAAGGAGTGTACCGGCCAGGGATCGAACCCCGGACCATATGCATGGTCGGCGAGCGTCCTAACCGCTATGCCGTCACCGACGCACTAACAAAAAATATATATTAAAATACAAAAAGGTATATGACAATGGAAATAGGTAAAACTATTCACTGAAGATGCTCCACATATCAACCTCGGTAGTCAAAACCATGTGAGTAGTTGCTTTTTATCTAGCAAATACACTTGAAAAACAAACATGAAGTACTACTTATGTAGTTGGAAAGGAGACCAGTAGAATTTTGAGAAAAAAAATAAAATAAGTCACAAGACTTAAGAATTATCACACTGATATTGTTATGTGTTTAATCACGTACATTAAAATTTTAAAAAAATATTTTCTCACTATCAAAAAAATAATAATAATATTAATTCAAAAACAACTTACTTATCTGGTTTCAAATCACGATGAACTATTCCATAATTATGCAAATATTCTAAGGCTAGTACTGTCTCTGCAAAATACATTCTAGCCAAATCTAATGGCAATGGTCCTCCAATATGCTTTAACAAAGTTGCTACATCACCACCTTCCACGTACTCCATAACCATGCATAAACATTTTTTTGTTTCAAAAGTACAACATAAGCTAACAACGAACGGATTGTCTGCAAAACTCATAATATCCCGTTCAGCAAAAACTTGTTCCACTTGATTACGCAGTTGTAGATGTTGTTTACGAATTTTCTTTAGGCTAAATCTCTGTCGAGTAATTTTATGTCTAACAAGATAAACGGCACTGAAAACATTGAGGACAAAAAAAAGAAGAGAGAAACAGGTACTAATATATTCATACATATTGTGACAGTAGTCATTCTTATGTTTATATATTTATTTAACAAATTAGCCAAATAAATAAATAAATGTTATCGACGAGAATATTCTTCGAGAAAACAGTGAAGACCAGGGAAGTCGTAGTCTGAAATTCTTTACAAACCATTACCATTAGATAGGGATAAATCTGTTAGGTGGTGTAGAACAACAATCAATCACAGCTTAATGCAACCGCCTTTTTTCTCTCTCTCCATTTCTTGTTGTTTGAATCTTCCAATTATACAGTTTGATTTGCAACATGAATTGAAGCCAAATTTTTAATTGGCTTCCAACCTATTATCGTTATGCACTTCAAGAAGCAAATGAAGAAATACTTCTGTAGTGGACTGAATTCGTTGCATCCATCAGACGATATACTGTCGATGAATATTCTATACAGGGAGTATATATTTGCAAGAAATTACATTGAGAATTTTGTATTTATTTTTCGAGTTTGACCGCGGATTGATATTAGTTAGAGAACCATTGAAAACCAAAAAGTACTGTCAGACAGCTGTTTCATCCTAGTTTAAGAATCATCGGTAGTAAGCATCCACCACCAGGTTTCGAACACAAGACCTCCCGGTTACAAGGAAAGCTCGTATACCAATACCATTCAGCTACTGGGACTCTCTCTATTCAATGCCCCATGAATTCGAACTTCTACCAATTCGCGATTTAGCGAGACCACCGACCCATGTCTTCGGTGGGAAATCCATCCTCACACTTGACGTCTGGATGGACGTCACTGGTCACGACTTCTCACTAAAACTTCAGAAAACTCCGACCTGTAGCAAGTCACCAGCGAGCATCAGATTAATTTTCAAAAGTCGTAACTGGAAAGTTCTGGGTTCGAACCCCAGTGGCTGCGTACTGCTGATGATTCCGAACTAGAAAGAAATTTAATTATTTAATTTATCCTAGTAATTTATAGAATATCCAGAAACTAAACTGCGTATGCATCTCATCATATATAAATATAAGTTTCCCACAAGAAAAGAATATTAACATATATAATAAAAAATTGTTTATCTAGTATCCCTTTACTCTGCGTCATATACATACATACATAAATTTATGTATCAGATGATCTTGATCCCCACACTATTAAGAAAGTATGCCTACTCTTTTTGCATCGCATTGATAAATTATGACATGAACTTTCCACTCATAACTTGCACTCAGATATTTTTTAAATTCCTATTACGTCGTTGAACACAGTTATTTGTGAAGTTATTCTGATGACGACAAAGAACTCTATACCTATCTACGACTCGTAACATCGCTTATCACTCACTATTACCCATTCATTAAAATTAGATTATTTATGAATGTTAATCGAAACGTGTATATGCAGAATAATTTAGCAACAAAAATAGTGGAGAGAAAAAAAGTGGTCAGCAAGAACTAGAACGTTTCTAGGAAGTGATTAGCTAACAGATAAGATTGAATCATAAGACGTAAATTTTTACTCGGCGTCAGAATAACTTGATTCAGTTAACATGAGAGATTATTAGTCTACAGTTGGATATTGTTTTTTTATTGCAAGGCAATGAATCCCATTTGTACTTACCCATATGCACCATTTGATATCAGTTTAATCACCTCGAAATCAGCTTCACATGGAGGACGGATAGGAGCATAACTGCTAGAGCTACGTGCTGTTCGTGATACTATGTCATTCTCATCATTCACACAATTATCCAAGTTTGACCCACTTGTTGTTCTATTTCTAGTTGTGAAGTCAGATTTCATTCCCTCTGACTGAGATGTACCATCTATGTCAGAACGACACAAACGTGAATTCCCTATATTATGTGATTCTAGAAAAGAAAACATTAAAAGCAAACCAAAATTATAGATATGCTACAAATCAACTTATTTATTTTTTTAAATATTCACGAAAAATATATCACAGTGACAGTGACCTGAAGAGCTCAATGCTGGCAGAATATGAGTGAGATCACAATAATGTATAGAACCACGACTACTAGGGAGATTCATCACCTATTATCGCAAGTTCATCCAGCATTATGCATACTAAATACTGTTCATGCTACAGTATTATTGCTACTGAAGAACCCCCTATTGCACCCTTCAGTGTAGCAAGCGTAAATCAGTGGCATATGATATAGCGAAACTTGAGAATTATTTCCCTATTTAGTTGTGAAATCTCGTTAATATTTATAAAACACATTTGACTCCTTGAACGGATCACTCGATACCGCCTTGATTGCAGACTGTAAGTCTCAAACAACGGATGCTCCGTTAGAGTTTCAGTGGAAACACTATCACTTTGAGGAATGGAAGGCATATCTCTAACTTTGAAGTCCCAAATAGGAAGGAACACATTATAAATTATACCGTTAGCTATGACAGACCATTTTTTTTCCTTCACGTTCCCCAGTGGAACATAGGGCTTCAAGCTAGTGGCTTGAAGTTTCTGTAGCAGTGTTTATTTTACAGGATGGGGTTGCTAACCTCATGCCCAACCTTTCCCCTTCACCAGCTTTATTTCTGGCTTAGCGAGGGAAAGGAGTGCGTCGGCCGGGGATCGAACCCCGGACCATGTGCATGGTCGGCGAGCGTCCTAACCGCTATGCCATCGACGCCATGACAGACCATTAAATGGAAACAATATCCAGGCATCTGTTCAAAGTAGTTAATCAATTCGCTTCAGAGATATCAAGGGGCAATCACGATCACGTCCTTTAAAACTTACTTATCATTCACCTCGAAGAATTTCTTTGTAAAAACGACTACTTATGTCCACATACTGAAAAGTATGAATTTTATGAATTGACTTTACTGTATGACTCGTGTCCGAGAATTGGGGCTTATCGAAGAAAAAAAGCACCATATAAAGCCTAGGAGTAATAACGTTTTACAAGAATGAAGAAATATTTGAATAAAAGACGTTTGTATAAATTCAAAACAAGGTGTTATTTCAACCATAACCTAGTATGCTAGTAAAAAAAAGCATTTAAGTGGATTCATTTACGCATGTGAATCTACCAAAGTCACCTTACATTGGACACAAAGATAAGAGAGATGACACTTTCTTATCACCAGTTTTCATCTGAGTTACTTTACACACGATGTTTGCATCTATTAATCTGGAATCAGCAAAAACAGTATTGTTCCAATCCATATCTGACTGACTTATCAACATGCACTAAAGTACATCAGTTTAATTGGCTACAGGTCGGAAAAGAATACATGACATTAGGGTACAAGGAATGTGTAATGATACTAGGATAGACGAAAATATACAGAGAAAGAATAAACGAATGAAGAATAGTGAGGAGTTTTCAGAATGTAAAGCACACACTAAAGAGTGAACACATATGTGTGCTGTTGAGAACGATTTTTGAGCTATGACACCAACAGTTAAAAAGTATCGATTCTTAGCATCCTGAATTTGTTCCAACACGCAAGCTAAATGAATTAACTGAATTTAACATGTGAGTGCATTTGTAGACTGAGCGTTAGGATGGTCACAGATTAATAAAATATCCAGTGTACCAAACGAAAAAAAACCTACATGAGCACAATGCCTGAAGAGGCTACTACTAAACAGAACACATTATTTTTAAAAACGATTACTATTAATTACCATCTAGAACTGTTTTACTGAGACCCAACTTTGAAATAATGTATAATGGCACATCAGCTGACACGATCTGTGATCCTGGCAAGCTCACTGAATGTGTTCGACGCCGCACATGATTTTCAGCAACTTCTAACAACTGATAAAATTCAGATGGATCAAACTCCAAACATTCAAGTAGACGTGCAGGACGTGCGATAATCAGGAGGAGTCGACGAACAAAGGTGACTACAAGAGGAATAGAATCTGCATCTCGAGCACGCGTCTAGTATAAAAAGAAAAAACAGTAAAAAGAAAAAAATAATTGATTTATAATCGTAAGAGACTATTAGAGATTAGTAAATTATGACATCACTAGTTATCTCAGATAGAAATTCATGAGTAAATGTTTAAAAAGACAACTATAGATGTCCTGCGACGAACCTCTTCATTGTGAAATACTATTGAATTCATTAAAGATGCAACACACTGATACAGAAATTAAAGTAAAACTATGGAATCCATCAATTCGATTTTAGAATTATTGTTCACTTACCGAACATAATCAAGAATAATTCCGTCTTGTTAACTTGGAAAATTTGCATTACCTGATTAAAGGCAACATATCACAGGCACAGTATAATTCACGGAACAATCTAGATGTAACAGACATGAATAATTGCACACAAACTATGTCTCAATCTTGCATCAGCAAGTAAATACCATTCCATATTCTGGTGTATTGGTTTCATAATATGAAATTAAATGTGACATGCAAAGTCCAGTGGAGTGATATGAAAACAAATCTAATCCTTACAAACCAACTCTGGAAAATTAATCTGATGCTCGCTGGTGACTTGCTACAGGTCGGAGTTTTCTGAAGTTTTAGTGAGAAGTCGTGACCAGTGACGTCCATACAGATGTCAAGTGTGAGGATGGATTTCTCACCGATGACATTGTTTGGTGGGCGCGCTAAAATCACGAATTGGTAGAAGTTAGAATTCATGGGGCATTGAATAGAGAGAGTCCCAGTAGCTGAATGGTATACGAGCTTTCCTTGTAATCGGGAGATCCTGGGTTCGAACCCTGGTGGTGGATGCTTACTACCGATGATTCTTAAACTAGGATGAAACAGCTGTCTGACAGTACTTTCTGGTTTTCAATGGTTCTCTAACTAATATCAATCCGTGATCAACTCGTAAAAAACAAATCTAATCCTTACAAATCTAACTCTTGAAGATATGAAAATTGCTTTGACCTCAAATTTATGTGCATATATATATATATATGTATATATAATATGAACTAAATCTTCTCGTTATGTGAAGAAATACATCTTCTGAGTGAAGCAGTTTAAAATTTAAATGCAAAGAGAGTAAAAGAATTAACAATGTTTTTGTCTGCAAAAATTCATCACTTCATGTACTCAGAGAAATGGTTTTAAAGTGAGTATACAATGACAAACGAATATCAACGGAGTAATTAACAGGGAAGTGGATCGGTTGGATGTTAATTGGAAAAATAAAGCATATTATAAATTGTATATCATCAGGAAGGAGGCAGGTAAATTGTGAAACTTGGTTAAGTAGTCTTATGTAATCTGAAACTTTAGTGATGAGTAGTATTCAGAAGTGGTTATTACAAAAATTGTAAGAGCTTGGAATGATATTCCTGTTTACCAAGAAGGATTCAGAATATGTACAAAGTATATTCTTTAAATTAGGAGTTTTAAAAAATAAATACAAAATAGCAGATGAAGATAGATGACAGTATACAAAAGTATTGTGTACAAGTTACTCTCAGTTTCCTTGATCCCCATCAGAAAAATTAGATATAAATGAAACTATAACTGTTGTCTTGAACGGATCGAAACGATTAACTGGACGTTGTAGATGTAGACGAAAACACGACTTAGATAAATACCTCGCTAACGGCGGTTGAACAACAAAGATACATTCAACATTCAATTGATGAAAGAAAATAACTGTCACCGCAACTGTGGCTAGGCTGAAAAATGTCTATTTTTAATGCTTAACTGTTTAAGAAGCTACATATTCCACGGAAGTCACGTGAAAATTCGTTAGCCAAGTTATGAGCCATAACTATTGCAAATGTCAGTGATGAATACTAGCCAAGTAGACTGAAAACTGCAAATGTGATCGATAAGACAAAAGGCTGTCTTAGGCGATTATAAATTTTAGTTAGAACTTAAAGACATCTTACTGTATATGGAGGAACATTTTGTGTCTACAAAATGAATATTTCATTCACCTAAATGTATATTTGAATAAGAAATATTCCATACGACAAAATCTTCCGACGATTTACTTTCAACCGCTCTACATTTGTATTGAAATACATTTAGACTTTACAACTTTCCCACTAGCTTAACTTGTACGCCTCTTGATAACTAATGTCTTCAGCCTAATTAACCATTCTACCTTGTCTTGAGACATAATGACGTAAGTTTTTAACAGACACTATATACTCATCCTTCCCTCTATTGTTACATAATACTTATTACTTGATTTCAATTCACGGTTAATTTGTTCCAATAGCTTATTTACAATGTTAAACACTGAAGAGTAATCCTTACGTAATTTCCACCTTCATATTGGTTTATTCGATTACATTTTTGATAAGAGGTGTACTTTTGTGGACCATGTTAAACTTCTATGTCATGAGACATGAACACCAGTGATGTTTAGGTACGAATGTATAACTTTTAAAACGAGACAAGTGTACACAAATTCGCTAACTTAAGTATATAGCTTTTAACGTAGACATGACGAAATATAACCAGACGACCTTCACAAAGCCACCTACTTAGGAGGTTAATATCAATAAGGGTTTAGCATAATCACAAATATCACACCCTAACCATTCGGTATTTGATAAAAATATAATTTGTAAGATGCAACAAATTAGTTTAGTTGATTAGATTATATGGAATCTTGGCTTATCTTCTACAAAACTCAGCTGACTTTAAGATGTTACAGGTAATTTTCGATACATTTAACATAAAGCATATTCTGTACAAAGCTGCTGTTTGATACAAGTTCTCATACCCTCAGGTTAAATGAATATCCCCAAGGTCTCATTTATATTTCCCAGGGAACGAATTCTTACATTTAACGATAAAACAAAAATAAATGTCTGTACACAATTTCACTATTATTATTGTTTCCTTTAATTCCTAGAGGAACAAAGGGCTTCAGCCGCACGTCTCCATTGCGTTCAGTTCTCTGCCAACGTCTTCACCTGGCGCCACGTCTGCCCACATGCTTTCATCTCCTCTTCACATGACCTCCTCCATGTCACCCTCGGACGACCACCTCGCCGCTTCCCATTCGGGAATTAACGCATTGGTTAAAGCGTTTGTCTAAGAATTTTGTTCAGACTGCTTCAGCATGAGTGTATGAACGGAATAAGAATACCCAGACATCAAATTTTGTTTTGAATTACACTAAGAACGTAGAACACAACCAAACAATGTGCAAACTGCCATACCTCATTAGTGCACATCAAGTGGGATCTGAAGAAAACAGTAGGTGGTAACAATATAATCGAAAATCATAGTGTTGTAAGACATAAGGACAAAAGACAAAGCAAGCGGAGAGTTGAGACATTAAAATCAAGAGGAAAATAAAGCATGAATGCATATCTGTCACTGTGTTGTAGAATACATCTGCTTGAAGCTGGTCACACTCAACCGGTTCAAAGTCAATTAAACTTCACAGCCTTTATATCTTTTCTTACCGTCGATACGACTTCACCCTCAGACTGGAGTTGTCATGCGGGCAACTTACACTATGACGTTTACTGCTTTTAGTTTAACTAATATGCAACTGACTTTTCCGACACCAAACGACTTCGTGATGAATCCTCCAAGCCATTAAAGCTTATTTGTTCATCCAGACAAGCAAATGTAGGTAATAAGTTACTGTACAAAAAAACTGTTCAATTTACAAGAGTGACATTTTCTTCATTGAGATTATAACTAATGTTACACAGTACCTTAATACATTTGGTTACCTTCATAAGTTTCAATAAAGAAAGAAAGACCAGATTTGCAGTATAAAATGATAACATTGTATTTCACAGGTTCTCATCAACCTCAAACTACCTAAAATCACAGCTAAACTGACATGCTACTACGCAAAGCATAACAGTATAAATTACACTTTATTATACCCCGCTTAAAGCTGAACTTACTTACTGATAACTGGTGCTATTTCTTCACGAAATAAAGACACCCATACACAAAGAAAATAAAAAGATTAAAAAACAATGATGATAAATAAAATGTAGCCATGAATACTTACGTCTTCAATGAGCTTTCCCAAATTTTCAGTCATTTCGTAAAAATAACGGCAGGTTACAAGACCAGATAGGGCTTTCTGAAGACAATCTCGTGCATGTTGTACCACTTGACAGTGAACAAACCTGGCCACTGCACTCCAAGACACTGTATCCATGTTTTCCATTTCATCAGCAAGAGAAGCTAACTGTTTCTGCATATGAGCAGAAGCCTAATAGTAAAATACAAAACAGAAATCAATTGACACAAGTGTACAAGAACAATAGCAACTCACTGAAGATTTGAACCCGTATTTTGAATAAAATATCACCCATCAGTTAAATAAACCTATAATTTTACAAAAATAAAAGGTTCGACTCTCTGGTAGACATTTTTTTCTGTTGAGTAGTTCGCAAGATCATCATCAAATTGATATGATTATGAACAATAATTTGTGCTTGAAACGTCATCAGTTAATATTACTGTACGAAACTGTGTGATTTATCAAAATAAAATCTTATCCATAATGGAGTTATGCTCTACCACAGTGCCCAAGTTTTATACTTATATCAGTAGTGCAGTTCTGTAGCATCATCTTACATTTGGTGGGAGCGAATCGCATGCCAAACATTCGTAGATTGCAGCTCCTCAATGTGTTCAGAAGACTGCATTTTGTCAGTGTCTTCACTCAGAAGGACTATATTATCTGCATATTCCAAGTCAACGAGATTATTTTCTGGTATTCTGTGATGCCTTATTGTCACCATTAAGTTTAGTAGTTCGAATCAAACTTTGTCCAGGAACAAATTATGTTAAGTGTGGTATATTATGAAGCATACATACACAGTTTATGTATCGAAGTGTATTGACAATGACAGTTCGAAATCACTGTGACTTACAATAGTTTTTTTTAAAGTGTGCCCTTTGAATTACACATAAAATCTAACTACATACAAAAAGAATCTTTTCTAAACATGACTATCTGACGGGTTTTTGCAGATATTATTCTTTTAATATCTGAGCAGTATAGAAAACAGAATCTCTAGTATGAGCTAGTAGTAGAGCTAGCGGCGGTCAAACGAAAACATGGCACCAGTCAATGAAATCTACAACAGTTAGTTTAAGCTAGCCATCTAGGAAGGTGTAGACTTGCTGGTTGGGATCCTTGGGATGATAAACACCAATGAAGGCTGGAAAAAATTCGTGGTATGGCTCAAAATCGTTCTCAATGCCTAGTGCAGATGCATCCACTACTTCTGACTTATAATTTCCAATGAAACTATATAGTTCTTCGTTATTACTACTCCTTTTGTCTCATATCCCTGTTTACTGTCTATATTATGCATTTCTTCTACTTTCTTCTCTTACTTTGTGTGCTACATGAAGTGTGGAGACTTGAACTGCTGCACATCGATGCAAAGTTCTATGTCGAAAACGACCTAGTATGAGAACTAAAACAGCAACTTTTATTATTGAATATCTTATGCCAAAATGAAAACCGCACAAGAAGATTAGCCTGTCTAGTTTGATGTTTAGAGTGTTACAGTTCATTCTCCTTGCGGAGACTACGCAGAATTCAGAAAAAAAAATATTTGAGAGTAAAAAGGTCTGAAGTCCAGCGGGGGGCACTTAGGACAAATCTTTACGCTGAAACAGCTTCTGGATCACGGGTATACTCACAGGTATCAATACTTACATTCAGTGTTCCGAAGGAGGCGTTTGACTTTAGGTAGCAATATATGGTTTGAAGCAGGTGTCAAGGAAGTGTACTGTATTAATTGATGCACCATACTGAAACTCGTGGAATCACAGCTTGTGTGAAGAATTATCGATTGAAGTGAGGTCAGTCAGTAGTGTCTGTCAGGAAAGCCCAGAGTTACTCAACTTATTTGACTTTATTGTAGACAAACTACAGCTTTATAAACAATATGAGCGCAAATTTGAATTTGTAGGATAGTGTTACTAGACCGGTCTGAACCAACTTCGAGTTTAAACACAGGGAGTGAAATGACTGAATGTATAAACAACTTCAATCACTGGGGAAACTGCATCAGCTCTGATACACTAGTTTCTAATAAAATCTCAGTACAGGGATAATAGGTTTTTTCTTCCTTGCCAACATGTGTCATCTGTGATCTCAACAGGAAATCTGGCTACCTATCTGAGGGCATGTTTTCTGCACAACATTTCAATCTAACCTACTTTCTGGCTGTAAGACATGACCACTGAGAGTAGTATATGATTTTGAACCCAGGTGTCTACTTCCATTGCTGAAGCTGGATGAAGCGACATAGTAATTAGTTTTACGACTAAACATGGAGTGGATAGGACATTCAGTATTGCTTTCATCGGTCATCATCGCTCCCAACTCTTTTGTTTTCCTCAAGAAAATTCTAGCACATTACGTATATATATATATATATATATATATATATATATATATATATATGCATAATAGTATTTTCGACTATACGGACTAAACATTTTGATTCATCTATGTATCGTGGTCACTCTGAATTGTTGTTCCACTCTTTTTTTCCAATGATCCAAAGTCTGTTAAAACTGTAATAAAACTATTAACTTTCATTATTCAGGTTGTTCGCTGCTGTTATTGATTTGTTAAAATGAGACAATTAGTGATTATTTCATTCTTGTCATGTGCGTCGGTGGCTCAAAGGCAGAACGCTCGCCAACCACCCACATGGTTTGCGGTTCGATCCCCAGCCAAAGCACTACCACACCTCGCTAAGCTGGTAATAAGGTAGTAAAAAGAGAAGGTTGGGCGTGAGGCTAGCAACTCCTCCCCGTAAAAATAAACACCACTGCTACCGAAACTTCAAAGCTCTAGCTTGAAGACCCATGTTTCACTCGGAACGTAATGGAATAAAACAAAAATAAAAATTATTCTTGTCGTAAAGGGAGTGATAACTACCATATAAATGATACGAAGAACAAGGTTTCTGTAATAGTATTTACAAAGTCGAATAACTAACCTTTGGGAAACGTTCTCGATAAACATGGTTTAACAGTAGTATATCTTGTTCACCACCAACATTTGTGACACGCAAAGGACTGCCATTTAGGAAGAGTAGAAATATAAACAAATAAGACATGAATTATTAAACGAATTAAGCGGATAAATAAAACACTACGGCTCCAATAAGACAGCACCAAATCAACAGCAAAATAGGCAATACATAAGAGAATCATATTTTATATTCAGCATCTTAGGGTTTCTAAGTATTTTGATTGATTTAAACACATGTATTATGATTACAGGTTCATTGAACTCATGAGGTGTGACCAGTCATATACAGATTGGACATTTACTAGGCAAGCTGAGTATACAAATGCATATTGTTCATGCAGAGTTTCTATAGTTTGATAAAGCCATTAAATCTACCGGTATACTTCTAGGTGTACATCAAGTAGATACTGAGTTTTCAGATATTCATAGAGTGAATTAAGTGTTTCTTCATACTACTTTAATGGAATTGCACACCAGAACTTTGTGAAGACGGCTGAAAAGGATTTATTTCCCATTTGAAATGATAAATTGAAATTGGAGATGTACTGTAAGTCCCAGTCGCTATCGCTCACCGAACTGATAGGTGGAAGATATACTAGGGACACTGGGTAGAGTGAATTAACGACAGCAAAATATTGTGAATCAGAATGAAGGATGACGTCTGATTCCAGAGCTGAGTGGATTAATGATACCTCCAAAACGGCTCCTACATTAAACGCTGAAATCCTTTAGAGTGAAAAACTGTAACATTAAGAGAAATTCGTATATCGTTCACTGACCATTTCTGAAAACATAATACGTGAGATAAAAGAGTTTTAAGATGTGAAATAAATAAGGTGAAGTTAGACATTTAGACAAGCACAGTTAAACGCACACACAAAAAATTACAATATTACCTACCTCAAGCTACGAGAACGTGTCCGGCAACTCCCAAAGCTAGAACTCATACATACTTGAATCCCGCTATTGAAACCATGTATAATTCTAGGTGATGTGCGAGTAATAGGAGTAATTGGTACACTTTTAGAATCTATGCCGCACACTGAAGTATACAATGGAGATGAAACATTAAGCGGTGAATTATCATTTCCTGTTTCTGATGTATATGAGTCTTTTGGTGAACGTGAAGTGCCGTAAATACCTGGTGATGCTTCATTTTGACCAACAGATGATGAGAATGACAGTGGAGATATAGAATTCGGAAAGTGTGAAGATACAGGTATCGAAGGTGATCTCATTGAATATGAACGTTCAATTGGTAAACATTTAGTTGATGCCATTTGTGATGATGTTTGATACTTCCTAAAAACTGAAGTTGCACGACTTATGGGATGTTGAGTGTTGATCTGTGCTGGAGGAATATGCGAGACATTTTCTCGGGATGAACATCGACTACGCTATAACACAATAGAATACAAAGGTCGAGTTTAATGTAATAAGTGACTAAGAATATGGTGATGTGATACAGACAATGTGTGCCAACGGAATATTATTCTCACATATTCCCACAGTTCAATTCGGCATTAGCAACAGAATACAATATATCTATTTGAACATTCTATTTCATGTCGTTTGATGTAAACCGAAATCACACAACTCAGTGATTGGTTAACGAATATAAACTGTAGATATATAATCAGCGGTTTGACCAGTGGAAAATATACTTTGGCTTCCGTGTCTTGCCTTCTACTGTTACTGTCACGTGGCAACTCGAACTGCTGCACTTCGGTGCCAAGTTCTATGTTGAATCCAGTCAGCCACAAGAATAAAGTGACTTTTAATTAATTAATTTTTTATGCAATAAGCCTCAAACAAAATATGTTACATTATACACTACCGAAAACATGGTATCGTAAAAGACAGGTGAAAGGCGAAACGATTTTTCTATGAAGACAAGAAATGGTTTGTTCAAACAAATTTAACCAACTAGTAATCAGTAGTTCATACGATATTTGGATACTAGTCTTTTCAATCAAAATTTGCTGGGTCAGTGAATGACAGTTGAAGTTCTCAGTGCACATGTTTAAACATGTTAGCCCGTTTCACGAAATATAAGCAATATAAAATAATACGAAAACAAAAATGTTATTTACAAGATTTACAAATATACATAAGTTAACATTGAGTGAGGTCTGGCTTTTATTTTTCGAGACCTTAAAAGTTGTGTATTGGCAGACAAATTAGAAATTTAGAAAAATTCTTTTAAAAAATGCTACAGGATATATAAAAATCACGTACGTGAAACGAAGTCACTAACTCCATTAACGAAAAAACAAATACTCGCCGAAGACATTGGCTAGTGGTCGCGCTATGTCGTGAATTGACAGAAGTTAGAATTCATGAACTGGCCATTGGATCGGGTCTACGAGCTCGCCTTGTAACCAGAAGATCCTGGGTTCAAAAACCCCGGTGGGTGCGCACCGATGAAGAGTCCCAAACTAGGACGAAACAGCTGTCCAGTACTCCCTGGTTTTCCAGTGGTTCTCTAACCGATGTCAGCTCATGATGAAATCCTGTTACCAATCAATCAAATCCCTATAAACCAACACTTGAAACTCCGAAGTGAAAATAAAAAGGATATTTTCGGACAAATAAAGCGTGAAATGAATATCTACCAGAGATTTGAGGGAGAGATTGTAAACACACATACATTCAGTGCAACTCTGTAGCAAGAAAGCTTGATAACAAGCAAATATTCTCAAAGGTTGTTAGCACTGACTATTTTTTTAAATGCAATAAAGTGCAGACAGCACAACGCGTACTGGTTACTTCAAGATTTTAGAAATTGTGAAGCAGAAGTAAGCAGGATAGATATAGATAATACATCTGGAAAGCTAAGACAAGCACTTTTATGAATACAAGTGATAAGAGAAAACATTCTGAATAATTTAGACACTTTAGCACTTAACTTTCAGTCAGTGGGCCTCAAAGTATAATTTTAGCTCATTGTCTGGTAGACGAGAAATCTATGCCACATAACTGAAAGAGAGATGGCCTGATTTGGATCATAACTCACATGCTACACAACAATATGCTCCGTTTATTTGAGTACAAAAGATAAATTATTTACAAGTAAAAGTGTAGGGTGTCAAGAGTTAGTCGTGCAGTACAACACACTAGTGACTAGTAGTACTAGTATTTGCATTGCTACAAAACACCTTAGAATTGCAGTTCAAGGTCATAACATAATCTAATCTGTTAATTAAGATAGTATATTAAATTATAATGCAGGTAAACAAGACAACTTACAGATAAATGACTACCGCTCTCCGATGCATTAGTGCCGTAACCGGATGAAGGTAGTGAGGCTAGAGACCAGCGACGACAATCAACCGTACTAAAACGAAGGATGGAAAAAGTTTCAGCATGAAAGAACTCAACCCAGTATAATCAGGTGAAATATGTGAATAGTTTTTTCAAGTTGCTTTAAATACTACTAGGTGGCACACCTGCACCAATTGAGATTCCCTATGAAATCTTACAAACACTAGGTTGTTAAAACTATGTGCAGCTTCATACGCTTTGGGATAAAACTCATCATCACAACACTCATCATCGTCACATCGTCCTGGTAAGATGTACAAAAAGATGAACAATAATGTGATCTAGTAGTACAAACAGATATATCATGTGAATTAATCTAATGTATGACCTAAAGATTTGATAGCAAACCGTTTCGCAGACTTATAACATTGTAAACTGGACAAAATTGAAGTTAAGCCTTAACTATAGGAATCCTGAGTTATTATACATAAATAACAGTCAAAACACTAAACTGAACTACAGGAAATATGATGCCAATTGGATGAAAAATTTAATTAAAACACAAATAGTGTTCACACACACACACACACAAATACACTTCCGTATACTTTATCTTCAAAATGTTTTCCAAAAACTATTCACTGTAATTTTTCACCGGTAGTTATATGCACGGACTGAACGGTACGACGAATTAATTATATCTCATCACGAAAGTGTTAATTTACGTATGTACGATGTGGGAATTTGTTAGCTGCTTGGAGGCAATCAGCAAGAAGCACTAGCTCAAGGTTTTGTACCCTTTGGAACTCATCAACAAGGTGTGTATCGGCAACTTCGAAAGAACTGATATTCCATCAGAAGCTCTGATCTGCATCTTCTACTGATGCAGTCAAAGAAGCTACCACTGAGTTACTCAGACCCGTGCTCTATTAACCACTTTAAGTCAATGCTTGGGAAACAAGATTTAAAGCTACACAATAATTCAACTTACTGTTTATTCCCCAAATGCAAGCGAGGAGCGAAATTCCGTTTTTCATTGAATGAAATATCATATGATCGTTGAGAAGTGACAGTATCTGGAAATGAGATATATACATATACGTATAGTGGGGTTTAGAATAACAGATAAGATTTCTACATATTGATAGCTGACTTAAGGAGAGTTCTTTTGAAATTTAGTAGTAAATAATGCAACAAGGTAGTTTTGATAGTGGTTAACTTCGTGAAAACAAATCTGCTTAAGTTAACACATTTCATGTTCAAAAGAAAAAGGATGTGCAACGAAACTGCAAGTAGGCTGGGAAAATAACGGAAAACCTTACACAATTGCCATAACAATGGTAAAGAAAACGGAATGAATAGAAGTGAAACCATACAAAGATAAATAAACGGTTATGCGAAGATAGGGAAAAAAATAAGGTATCTAAAAATGTTTTTGAATTTTAACAACAATATCTACAACACAACGATCAATACTCAGTAATGTGGTCATGTCAACGACCACTGTCAACACCCAAGCCTCCTCATGATCATTCACAGGTACCACCGAACTATGCAACCTAGTAGAATATAGACGACATTCAACTGAGACCCAGTCGGGTTGAAAGCGTCCTGTTCTATAATCTATCCACATACTGCGGCCAAAAAGCAGACTAACAGTCGACCTAATACATTGACTGACCTAAAAAGTAGAACTTTGCAAAAAGTCTATCAGTTCCAGTTGGCACACTTCAGAAAATCACACACAGTCATAGGAAAAGAAGTACAATGGATGAAGAATCAAATGAAAATCGGTGAACAATTCCAGAATCTGGAAGATTACGAGAAGTGAATGAATAATTGGCTGGTGGTATATCTTGTTCTGATCAATTCTAATTCGCCTCCATCCCGCAATGCCCACGAAGAAGACGGATGCTCAATAAGCGCAACATCTGTCTTATCAGTTATCAGTTGAATCGGTAAACTATACAATCCCATCAACTGACGTGCCTTTTTCACCTAGCAGTCCACATTTAGTCTGAACACTACTTACTATGTTGCTTCTCCGCCTAACTTCTCTGGTTATGTCTCACAGCCATAAAGTAAATTAGATTGAAATGCTGCACAGCAAACACACCGTTAGGCAGCCGGATATTCTGCCGGCATCAAAGATGACACAAGTTGGTAAGTGTTAAAAGAGTCTATTATTAATGTACTGAGATTCTGTCAGTAACCAGTTTGTCAGAGCTGATGCAGTCAGTTTCGTGAGTAATTGAATTGGTCTACGCATTTAACTATTTCACTCTCTGTTTTTAAACTTGAAGTTGGTTCAGACCAGTCCAGCGGCACACAGAATTAGGGGAGGAAAACGTAATGGTACTGTAACATCAAATCACAATGATTTAGTATCACAATGCACTAACTAGATATAAACTATATGCAGACACAATCAATAAAAATATGACTATAAATAAACAATTAAACATGAAACTATCTTACTTGTGTTGGGTTTACAGTTTGTTTGAGAGACCACTGGTTGAGCTACGCCTTTATCCTGCTGTTGGCCTGCATCATAATGAATACTTGATATCTCTGTTTGTGATACGGTATTTCCAGAGTGATCAGATGATTTATTTAAGTTTGGTTCACATGGAACAAAGCTGCTTTTCGGTGATAAAAAGTAGGTCATATCGTTGTGAGAAAGAGATGCAGCAGAGAAAAATGGACTTTCCGGTTCATTAGACGGCGCAGGACTGGACATGCTTCGATCAGCCATACAACTACTACTACCACTTAAACTACCTAAACCACTCACTAACATACTACGACGCTGATTATGAAAAGGTAGTGATGTAAGAGTACTAGTGGTTTCAACTGTATCTCTAATATCCATAGAGTTGGATGCTAGCGAAGACTTCCCACGGGAAATTTTACCAGAATGTGAGTCAACTTCTTCGCCCTTAGGACTCTCAGTAGCATGCAACACAGGAGCGTTTGAATTTATTGGTAACGAAGGGCTTTTCAAACTTGAGGGTGGAGTGTACGCCGATGATATATGCAAGTAAGAATTTCTGCAGTTTAAAAATTCATTGTAATTCGGATCCCGCTGCAAAAGGTAATGAGAAAGTATGATTTCAAAAACTGAAAATAAGATGGTAAAAACAACAGTTTCTCAGGTATAGTTTAACTAGTTAAACAATCAGGACTGTGACAACAATTACAATGGAAATATGACACAGTCTAAAAAAACTACGCCATTCCTTCGAAGAATATATACAACAAGTCACTCAGAAAGAATGCAACAAGACTAAAGCAGATCTTCTCAAAAGCCTAAAGCCTACAATTGATACCGAATCTCAGTTTCCAAGCAATCCAGAAAAGTACGTATTCAATCTTTCAGATATCACACTGTCTACTACTCAACTAGAGGCACTATCTCTAGGTCCAAAATTCTGCGTAAAACCACCAAGTATTGACAAGCTACAATGCCAGGTTCAGTTCGAAAATCTAATAAACCAAACTTACAATCTCACATCTACATCAGACGAAAACCTACAACAACTCAAAGCATCAATCCTCGACTGTTGTCACAAGTTTATAAATACCAAACACAACGGAAGGTCCATCTTGACGAAGAGGCACTATAAGGAGCTGAGAGAACTTATGAAAAACGAAGAGATTATGATATTACGTCCTGATAAAGGCGGAGGAATCGTAATCATGAATCGCAAGGACTATATCAGTAAAATGCTGACTATACTATCCGATGAATGCAAATTCACAAAACCGATCAACGAGAAAAACATGACTGAACAGACCGAACAAAAGCTAACGGACACCCTCCGTAAGCTAAAGACTGAATCTTTCATCAGCAACGAAACGTTCGAATCCCTTAGACCATCTGGCTCAAATATACCACGACTTTACGGACTCCCGAAAGTACACAAGAAGGGTATCCCTCTTCGACCGATCCTCGACATGACCAATTCACCTTATCACCGCACAGCCCAATGGTTAGCAGATCTACTTGAACCAATCAGAAGACAAGTTTCCTGCCACACAGTTCGAGATTCATTCGACTTTATCGACTCAATCGAAAACATCAACGTATCCAACAAGACAATGATTTCATTAGATGTCACATCACTATTCACAAACGTTCCACTGACTGAAACAATATGCTATATATGCGAACTTATTCACTCCAAAGGAATAAACATCGGTATACCCACCGAGCATCTTAAAGAACTCCTACTGAGGTGTACCCTGAATGTTCAATTCTCTTTCAACAACGAAATATATCGCCAAAAGGATGGTATAGCTATGGGCTCACCACTAGGCCCATTGCTTGCAGATTTCTTCATGGCAAAACTCGAAAACACATGCCTGAAGAAAATGATCGATACCTTCGAAATCTATAAGAGATATGTCGACGACACTTTCATTATCGTCAACAACGAAGAAAATCTAGACGACATCTTGAAGTCGTTTAACAACTGCCACCCTGCAATTCAGTTCACACTGGAGAAAGAGTCCAACTCCACAATATCGTTTCTTGACGTCCAACTAACAAGACGAGAACAGGATGGAACACTGAAAAGGTCTATCCACAGAAAATCGACGTGGAACGGACAGCTTACTAACTTTCACAGTTGGGTACCCCTATACACCAAACGAAACCTGATCCGTTCACTCATCTACAGAGTTCGCAGAATTTGCACGCCGGACACCATAGAAGATGAAATGGACAATCTCAAGAGAATCCTCGTCGAGAATTGTTATCCAGAAAGATTTATTGCAAAATCTATGAATCCTAGACCAGAAAAGCCGCCCATGCTTAGCGTCCCGAAAAAACTACTCTACATGAACCTTCAATTCAATGGAGATATATCTGCGGAAACACTAAAAAATCGACTGTCGCGCTCACTTAAGAAGACCTTCTTCGCAGCTGAACTACGACTAACCTTCTCCACAAAACCTATGATTCATGTGAACGTGAAGGATAAGCTACCACTGCTGGCCTCATCAATGTGTATCTACCAATTCACCTGCTCGTGTGGAGCCAGGTATGTCAGCCGTACCCAGCGCTCGCTTTCCAAACGTATCACCGAACACTTACCAACATGGTTTTACAAAGGAGAAAATCGATGCCCCCGCAGTTCCATCTTAGAACATCTGATAGAATCCGGACACCAAGCTACACCGCAAACAAACTTCAAAGTCGTCTACAGAGTAAGAAATAGTCTTCCTAAAGGTGTACGAATCAGACTTCTTCAAACTGCAGAAGCAATGGCGATTCACTTGCTAAATCCTGAACTCTGCATACAGAAGAAGTTCGTTCAATCACTACACTTGCAATGGACGTAATCTATCTTATTAGCCGACAAGTAAATTCTACCTAATCTTTTCTTCTGTCTCTTCATTAGTATTATTTTGTCTTCTCAATTGTAATATTTTACATTTTCAACTTTCTTGTTCTCTACCCCCACCCGATTCAATTTCTACACCTCACTACCACTGTTACTGACTTGAACAACGCTCAATTTCTAGTCATTTATGTTACGTCATCTAGCTTACTAACTCAATCTTACTTTAGTTGCTGTCTGATTAACTTTGTTTCTATATTACATCATTCTTGTATTAACTAATCAATTATCTAAACTTGACAAACCTCATGTACACACACACACAAATAATTATATATAAATGCGATTGTACAGCTATGTGAATGAATTCACCGAAAAGAGTCTCTTCACTGAACGTCTTCTCTTTTTCAATAATATATGTATTATAGAGCAGTAAGCCAACCTATGCATTTGTTGGAAATAAACCCGAAAGACACCTGCCTGTATGTTTTAGACTGTGCATTTCAACGGTATATATATATTCAAACAAATCAATAAAGGACTATATTGCTGAGATCAATTTAACTTAAAACTAAGTATACTTTTCCTATCAAGTATCTATATGAATCATTTTATACCCGACTGGACAGACTGAACAGAGTGAAACACTGAAATAACCATGTTACAACCAAAATGAATGGATCTAGTGGATTCTAATGCAGCAATTACTATAACTGATTTTTCTAGTCATTTTTATAAATACTTTAAAAATTCCCAATCTGTATTGAATTCACTAGTTTGAAAAACATTAAGTAGGTGAAATAGCGAAAAAGTAATTCAGTCATATGCTGGTAACCCGTGAAGTATATTGACTCTTTGCTTCCTATATCAATATATATATGGAAGCATAGACTTAGTTCCATTTTCGTTCAATTTCAGTAATTAACATTAAACATAATAATGTTATGATTGCTTCAGATCGATGTTGTATTCAGAAAAACCATAGATTGATTAAGCACAGCATCTATTGGATATATCGGGTTTAGAAGCACTCATATTATAACTATTAGTTCACTTGACCAGGAACTCGTAAAGCGACAAAACAATTCAACTGCCTGCATAACATTAAGACACTACAATCAGGGAGTTTGTGTGGTAAGTTTTTTAAAATTATTATAATACAAGACAGACAGTCGAGCTTTCATTTATTCAAAAAAAAAAGGTTGACGACGAATCACATCAGCTTATGACTCCAGTGTAACTAACAGTAGGTAATAATGAAGATACGAAACCTGATAAAAAGCAAAATCCCCACTCAAGCATCAATGAAAAACAAAACTAGTTCAATGAAAAATCTCTCTTCGGCAAATTCCTTTTCTCTAGCTGTACAGCCACATGTAGACATTTTTTTTCACGAAAGAGGATACTAACGAAATCAACACATAACAGTTGAATAAAAGTGATGGAGTGACGTAATGACGTAAGTAATTTAATGGATGAGTTGTAGTCACGATAAACATAATAACGGATAAAATATGATGCTACTAAAGAGCTGAAAAGAATAAAAGTTTGAAAGAACTAGAAAACAGAAAAACAAAGTTTTTAAAAGTAACTGAGTTATTGTCTGTCTGTTTTTTCGACATAGAACTTTGCATCGATGTGCAGCAGTTCAAGTCGCCACACTTCATGTAGCACACAAAGGAAGAGAAGAAAGTAGAAGAAATGCATAATATAGACAGTAAACAGGGGTATGAGACAAAAGGAATAGTAATAAAGAAGAACCATATAGTTTCATTGGAAATTATAAGTCACAAGTAGTGGATGCATCTGCGCCACTGAGAACGATTTTGAGCCATACAACCAATTGTCTCCAGCCTTCATTGGTGTTTATCATCCCAAAGATCCCAACCAGGAAGTCTACACCTTCCTAGATGGCTAGCTTAAACTAACTGTTGTGGATTTCATTGGCTGATGGAGCCAAGTTTTGGTTTCACCACTATCAGATCTTTTCCAACCTGATTCATCCCTGTGTCACCTAACATTGCCCATTGTCGAGGAAGGCGATGGCTAGGCATGCATGCCTAACACATGTCCTCACCATCTCAATCGATGTAACCTCACAAATTCGTCGATTGATTTCCCCTCCTTACCTAGTACTCAACGTCTAATCTCAATATTGCTCACCTTATTACACCTACCACTTAACTCGTGAGATAGAACGCAGACACCTGTGATCAAGGGCAGTTAGCATTTTCATGTCTTCCACTCTCAATGGCCACGTCTCACTCACAGCCATAAAGGAGGACGGAGTGCGCTGCTGAGCAGTACGATACCCTTGGGTCGATAGCCAGCCGGATATCACGTTTACTAAGGCAGAGATGGCGTAAGTTGGCAAATGACACACGAGTCTTATGTATCTGTGCTGAGATTTCGTCAGCGATTAACCTGTTGGCGCTGGCTGATGCAACTTCCTACATAAGTGCAGCTGTCAAACGTATTCTACCGCTTCACTACCTATTTCTAAGCTAGGAGTCAGTGTAGTCCAGTCCAGTCCTGTAGCCTCATCATCTTACATTTGACAGCAGGAGCGAATCGCATGCCAAACATTCGAATATTGCTGCTCCTCAAGGTGTCCAGAAGATTCTGTATTTTGTCAGTGTCTTTACTTAGAAGGAGTATATCATCGGCATATTCTAAGTAAACGAGATAGCAAGTCAATCCCTGAGTTTCTGAAGTGAGTTAGGGTTAAGTCCATTAGTACATCTATGATGAAATTGAATAGAAATGGGCATCCCTGACGGACACCACTAGTTGTCACCACTTCAGATGAGAACTCGCCGCAGACCCTCACCTGGCTGACTGCATGAGTTCGAGTGGAGTGCCTTGATCAGTGCAATGTATTTTCTTGGCATTCCCTTTACAGCCAAGCATCGCCAGAGTACCACTCGGTCGACAGAATCGAATGCCGCCTTTAGGTCAAGAAATATAACGACTTTTGGACGCCGGTAAGAATGCCTATGTTCCAGAATCTGTCGAAGGGTGAAGATATGATCAACACACCCTCTTCCTGGTTTGAAGCCTGCCTATTTCTCTCCTGTTTGTGCCTCTTAAGCACCACTTAGTCTACCCATGATTATTGAGCCTAGGACTTTAGATACCATATTAGTCAAGCTAATCCCCCTGTGATTATCACAGGAAAACTTGTCTCTTTTCTTGTATGTGGGGATAATCAGTGACTTACACCAACCCGACGGGACTTCCCCTGATTCCCAGAGGCTGCCTAATGCTTTAGTTAACGCAGACGGTAAACTGTCTACACCGTACTTAAATACCTCTGGAGTCATCCCATCGGGTGCTGCTGCTTTGCCTCGTTTCGGACTAGTGATAACATTAGTAACCTCAGTTAGGGACGCAGGACCTGTATCTATATCCCATTCAGGGAGGTGTTGGATGTTCGGTAAGTTGAGTGTGTCTGTAGGTCAGTTAAACTGCTCCTCAAAGTGTTCTTTCCAACGTTCCAGTCGTCTATCCTGGGAGCTAATTATGGTGCAATTTTTCTCAGAGATTGTTTCACTTAACATTTGCCTTTTACCACCTGTTTCCCTGATAAGTATAAATAGTTGCCTGGTGTTATTAATCGCTGATGCCTTTTCCATCTCTTTCGCTTTTGTCGCTCACCACTATTCACGGTCGTTATGAAGGCTTCTTGTTAGTTTGCGTCTGAGTAGCTTTCGTTCCTCATCATAATCAGAGCTCGCCGAAATCAGTCTTTTTGCGTCAATCAGTTCGGATGAGGCGGCAGAGATCCAATGGCTCTTACTAACTTTTGGTTTTAGGTTATTAACAGCTTTTACAGCTGTGTCTACAGATAACTGTATGTTGTACCAGGCTACCTCAGGGGAAGTCCTGCTGTTGACCTCAGATGCATGTTTCGCTATTTCCTCCTTAAATAAGGACTCAGTGTCTCGATCCAGTTGGGGACGGAACTGTTTTGCTGCTAGCAATTTCTTATGTCCGTTTAGTCGTAAGCATAAACGTGTGCGGACCAGAGCGTGATTGGAGTCTCCGCACGTGTTCCAGGAGGAGAGGCAATCTTCTACTGATTCTCACCAACGATACCCTATCGCTATGTGGCCTATCTGAGTCCAGCGTTGATTTGGTGAAGAAGGTCGTCAGTTTGCGCAGTGTCTCTCTTTGTGCCCAAAGTTAGTGCTGACTAGGAACAGATGATTATCTTAACAGAACTGTAACAATATTCACAACTGATACAGTATATTAAAATGTGATGACCTTTTACTACCCCATGAACCTATCTTGATCATTGGGATATTCCTTTTATTACAATTCAGTATAAAAATTGATAGACTTAAGTAAAAGAAACAATGACAAGTGGTTTTTAAAATGCTTCCACCACCTTGTTTCTACTTTGATAAGAGTAGGATACCGCCATTTAATCCAAAAAATGAACAAGACTGTACTTACCATATAATACAATAAATTCGGTGCAGATTGACCAATGAAACTACCCTTTATTCGCAAGAGAGTGCTGGACATGGAATGTCCTGTTAATAAATGAAAAAATGTATAACTGGTAATCAAAAATGATTAAAAACAATAAATCATTTATACAAAACAGCTCACTTAGATTCCATAGTGACCACATCTCACAACCATAAAGGATAGAGCGAACCACTGCATAGTAAATACATCCTTTGGTCGATAACTGGATATCACGTAGACATCAAAAATGGAGTCAGTTGACACATACCAAGCAAGCGTTTGGTATCTATCCTGAGATTTCGTCAGCAATCAGTCCATTAGGGCTGATGCAACTTCCAAAATAAGTGAGGTGGTCAACTATTTTACTAACTATCCTTAAACTAGGATTCATCGCTGACTAGCGTTGTAGGATCATTTTATATGTGATAAAGTTCAACATACTCATTTCGGTATACTACATTTTGTCAAAGTCTCTCTAGATCAACCAGACTTTCCTCTGATGAGATTAAAAAGAAACACAGGACATTGTGTAGAGCAGTCTGAAAAGCAGTTTTGTTGGTTGGCACAGCCAGTACTCGATATTCTCGGTCACAGTAACTTGTGGTCATTTAACACCAGTCAACCAAGGGAGGCAAACATCCGTAAGAGACGCTAAGTACTCTGGTGTCATAAAATACCCATCTAAGACCTTTTACGAAAAGGGTAATTGTTTGATCAAGGAACTAACTGTATTTGTTTAGGAAAGTATGGGGAACTGAATGCCCCAGAATCGTAAAAAAAATCATCATCGTGTCCGTTTAAGCAGAGCCAACGTAATGCCCGCGAAAGCCATCAGTAATATTTGGTTGCTAGTTGCACATAGTGTTTTCATGTTCTGCAAGCTCTGTGTAATGTTTGAGAATCTAACTTTCAAAGAGTAGGCTGGATTTTGTTTAGGTTGTGAATGCATCGATTGTGTCCACCCTCTGTCATTTGTTAGAACACCGTCACATATTGCAAATCAACAGTCTGTATTTCTTCACAATACGACCGTCTTCTACTCCTTGGATGCGACTATGGAAATGTCCGTTACAGAGAGGTGTGCCTCAGAAGTATATAAACATTTTCAAAGCCGTGTACAATCACCTATCATCACAGTTGTCAAGCGGGAGTGGGTTTACATAGGTTTGTCATATCTTACCATTTCTGTTCAACTTTACCAACGATTACATTTTGAAAACAGCTTCAAATGGTCTGAGTGATAGCACTGGCTAAATTGGTTTGGATATTCACTACGAATGTCGTCCCAGCGGACACTAAACCGTTTTTTAATTCCTTCACGTTCCCATTGGGACATAGGGCTTCAACCTAGAGACTTGAAGTTTCTGTAGCAGTGTTTATTTTTACAGGATGGGATTGCTAGCCTTATGCCCAACCTTTCCTATTTACCAGCTTTTATTTCTGGCTTAGAGGGGTAAAGGACTACGTCGGTCGGGGATCGAACCCCGGACCATGTGCATGGTCGGCGAGCGTCCTAACCGCTATGCTACCGACGCACTAAACCGTTTGCTATTTGCTAACTATAGAAAGCTGGATATATAAAAAGCAGTCATTGCGGTGGTACGAAGACGTATAGTTATCTCGAGTTAGCATCTGGTGGTGGATCCCGACTCCATGGATATGGACCTAAGAGGTCATGTGACCTAGGGGCCTCAATGGTGGACAAGCTACAATTTCTTCCTTTCTTCCCTTTCTCACACCAATATAAAGTAATGACAGCTCCCTCGGATGTACTTGACAAGTATGTTCAATATCATCATAATGTTATCCCATAACTACTTTGTTTTTTTTCTTATATTACTTTCTTACTGTTTTGTGTGGTGCAACTCTTAGCATCTGTAACCTACTAATTTTGTCCTTTAAATAAGAAATAATACTAATCTGCATGATTTCAAGTTTACTTCTGAGTTAGTACGTTAAGTAGCTTTCCTTTGTGGGTGGCAAATTACCGCTGTTGTAGATTTTTAAAATTTTGAAACTAGTCCAAGAATCAATAAATGATGGATGCTAACTGCTGCTGCTGCTGGATTCAACATAGAACTTGGCACCGAAGTGCAGCAGTTCGAGTTGCCACGTTCCAAATAGCACACAAAGGTAGACAGGAAAATGAGAGGAGAGAATCAATAGAATTTAGATAAGTATAAGAGTGAAACAGAATGAGTAATGGTAGAAAGGAATATGAAGGGTGGATGCTAACAGGTATAGATTATGAAGGACATGAATGCCCTTGGCGATTGAAATGAATCCCTACACGATAAGTAAAATATCGACACACTAATACAGTGTTGATTTTCAATCCAAACTATTGGTGTAATCATAAGTAACAATTATGGAATACATTTAAAAAGTTATTTTGCATAGTAATTCACAATAAACACTTCTTATGCTTCGTCAATACTAGTGAAGAACTATCACAGTGTAGTCTCCGCCTAAACAATTAGTATTCTTGGATTATATGGCAAAGACGCATAAGTGTGATTCAGTAATCACAGATGAATTATGACCTGAGGAGTCGTATAGGTAATACTACCCTCTAGTCTGACAATCGACAGCAGCAAATCAAAGTCAAAAATGGGTGTTTTGACAAAATAAGCAAGAGCAGATAGTAGGAAAGCAATTACAATCTAAACGACGTAAACCTTGAATTTGTAAATGAATTTGCCTTAGGATACTTAAATAACGAACACTTAGAATGGATATGGTTTTCATATAAAAACTGGATTCAAACATATTCATAAATAATGGCAGAAACATAGCACTCACTTTCATAATTAGATAAATGACTTGAAAAATACGGAGACAACTGCGGTTCATTACTGCCATGACGATAAAAAGAGGGAATTACGTAAGACACACTCGAAGCTTCAGAATAAGTACTTGTATTTGTTTGCTGTTTTGGCGCTTTACAGGAAGTTGGTGATATAGGACATGTTATTGAACAGTGCTTAGTTTGAACATCACAAATACTCCGTGGTGACTGTGAATTCTTCCAAACTTCAGAGGTCGACAGGTCGGCTTGAGCCAAACATGGTACGGGGCCTGTAATGGAATTCGTGTTGGCATCTTCCTGAAGAGATAGTGAGTGGCTGTCAGTTAGAGCTGATGAAATGGACAATGAAGACGGACGATAATTCGGAAGGATTTGTGATACATAATCCGAACCAAGCGAAGATGCTCGTTTAACACTTGTAGAGTGCTGTACTAGATCAGATTTTGACAAGTCGCAGTCACAGTTGCATTCATTTCCCCCAGAGATTATTGAATTTGTGTTATCCAACGGTTTATCCCCCATGAAAATGGAAGAGGATTCTGCAGATGCACAGGAGAGTGAACCCAGTGATGTACGAGGACGGTTTTGAGCACATGTAGTTCCTGGTCGCTCCTGATGGACAGGACGAGTTTCTGAACACTACAGTACGCAAATGTTAACACTTGTTTATAATATACATTAACACATCATCAGTACGCAAAATATGATTTGAATAATAACCGATTAAAATCGAAAACAAACATTGACGTAGTTAAACTGAAGAACCATATGTATATAAATGACCCAACAATAGTTGTAGAGAAGTTAAAAGTCCAACTTTTATTAAAACAAACTACGAAACTAATAATTCAAACTTGAAAGAAGATAATCTCATGATCCAATGGGTTAAAAATATCTCGCCTATTTCAATATAGTACTCACACATTGTACTCAACTTATCAATTAGTGCATAAACCGTTTGGCTCAAACACATGCATTGCGAATCTATTTCTACCTCTTTTGAGTACTATTCAGCCTTCTGAGAGTTTTGTGTGCTTTTGGAAAAGTAGTAATCTGAACTGGTGCATTTAAATGCAAATTTTTACTTGATTGTCAGTCAATCATTAGAACTCTGAGTCGTATATCACTAATAAAGTATATTTTACAAAATTCGGTGTCTTCACTTATTAACAAATAAAGCAGTTCAGATGTATTTAAGCCACAATCACAACCTCCCTATTTAGTATAATCTAAAGAAAACAAAGTATATCAGACTTTTCTCAGTATCTCAACCAGTTTTATGAAGGACTAAATTCCAACTACTGATTACGGACTAATACGTTACAATAAATAGTTCTCCACCGAGTTTCGCTGTAATATTGATATACATTTCGTCATCACTTCACTAAATAACCACTGTATTTTCATCCGGAAGTTTGACATATAAAGACTTCACAGATGTTAGCTCCTGATAATCATCCCGTCACCTATGTAAGCTATCACTCTCCCGCAAGCTATAAGCATACTTACACGGCATTCTATCCGACCACTGATCTTGCATGAATTTAAAAAAAGAATCAATGCTGACCAACAAATTTAAGCGTGTTGGCAAATAAAGACATTAATTAATGAACCAATATACATCATAAAAAATATACTCACCCTTCTAACATGAGAGTCTTCAGGGTGAGATCGCGATTCCGTCTCATGCTTGCCGATAGAGGTACACGAATGTAAGTGTGAGTAGAGGGAGTTCACTTCCAACTCGGTAAGACAGCCAGAGAACACATTACGCAACTCCTCTAGTGGACACTTCAATAAATCCTCATATGTACAGTTGTCTGGTAGTACATCCAAAGCTCTGTCCAGCTGGATTTCCTGAAGAAAATGGATCAGACGCAGTCTATCGCTGGCAGCCCATCTGTGAAGCGGGCTCTTCGAATCATAATTTAGGTGAATACTATTGCCTTTAGGTATTTGCAGGCTATGAACCTGGCGGTTAAATGCACAGAAAGCTCCTGACTTATGTGTTTCAGAATGAGGGGTTACTGGTGCTTCGAATAAACAATGGCTTGTACCTTCAGGTAATTTAAAGTCATTAACGTTTGATGATGAGTGGTCAGACATTCCATGGAAAAAGAGGCACAAATTAGGCACTCATATTTCACACGAATACCACTGAATCTCCTCTACATTTATGCTGGCAATTTAACATACCCGCACTTAGCGTCATATTCATAATGAGCGCTTGTTCAAAATTGAGTTATCGTGTGAAGTGCCAGTTGTAATATTGGAAAAATAGGCCAATGGAAAACGGGACAGAAATAGAGGAGAGCAAACTAAATTCATATGAAACATTAAGGACACTTCGATTTACACCTAGTAGCCTCCAAACGTAAGTTTAATTTCATTACCATTGATACGCCTTTCAGTAGGGATGTAATTTCATGCCAACAGTGTCCTAAGTGAATGTATTTAGGATCATTGGGTTTCAGATTCAGGCTCCCATTTCTTACGGGGGACAGAAAGTTCCAAGCCAATATTAATCTCATCCATTTAGTTCCCTAAATTAGTTTCGATAAAGAAAGAGAAACCACATTAGCATCATAAAATGACGTCATTCTATTTCATCAGGTTCAAACTACCTGATATTATAATTATTATAAATAATGGCAAAAACATACTTCAATATTTGGATAGTAGTAAAGAAAACATAAAATCAGTGCATCCTAAATATAAGCAATACTATTTCTGGTTCAAGTTACCATCATTTTATATGCTTATGAAAAAGAAAACGAAGGGAGAGGAGATAGAAAATAGAAAAATCTAATCTAATAAGTACCTATGGTTTCCTGATCCACTCTTGAAAGAGTTGATTGAATTCCCTGGTGCCAGTGATTCTTGGATTCGGCTCGTGGAAGCAGTGGCTAGGTGGGCGACACAGTGTTTCATAGAGATATGGGTCTTCTTTGGCTTCTGTTTTGTCCAGACATGTCATCCGAGTAGTTTCAGACCGTTTGAGATGAAAAGGGAAAACAGATTAGGTCCATGGTTGTTTCTGAGATGTGGTTAGTGTAAGGGGTTCAGTCTGTTCCTCATGTGATGAGTTTCTTCATTCGGGGGATCATACGCCTAGTCATCCTACGAACACGTTCTGCAATATATATAAGATTTGGATGCCCGGATGTTGTTTTCTAGTCTTGACTTCATCAGAAATTTGTATTAGGTGGTGAAAAGGCTTCATTGTTTACTTGTAGAGGTTGGGAGATGTGAGCTTCAGCTGTACGACACTAAAATCGCTGAGTGACTGAAGTGGTCAGAATGATATTCCTCCCAAGTCGTGCAGTCTGGAACTTGTGCATGATTGTCTATTCTGACAAGCTGATGGGAAGCATCCATTCGCTGGATCAGTCTAGGAAATTGTTGAAACCTGTGTGGAGTGTAATAATACCGCTGTTATCCATAAGCCGTTTCGAAATTTTTAGGTCATCCGCATAGAGAACCACTAGGGTTTTTTCCGAGTGCGGCTAATTCAGTGATATACAGGATAAAAGGGGGCATTCAGAGTGACTTGTATTACATCGCTGCCAATCGTTGTCCCTGAAGAGAGCATTAGGTTAACTCTGACTCCTTGCTACTTCTGATGAGCAGGCGGTGTTTGGTTCAAACTCTCCAATATCCTGAGCAGTCCTGTGCGAGTCACCTTTTTGAATTCTTGCTGACATCTGCGAAAAATCATCGGTGGGCTTCTTGTTATCCCTGGGCTTGACTGGGCCTTTCGTCGTTGGGAGATTTTGTGTCAGACTCGAAGATCATGCCATATTCTGGATAACGATCTATAGTTTCCAGAATATGTCATTATACTCTTCTTGATTATTCTCCCAGTACGTTGATAAAGTAATTCGAATTCATGATTTGCAAACCAGTTGTAAATTCGCAATGTACACAGTTAAATGGGTTTCCTTTGCAAACCGGAATTATTCAGGTCATCACACGGGATCTGCTTAGAGGGGTAAGTGGTAGTCAAGAATGCAGCTACATTCGCATAAAACTACATGCCACTGATTAATTAGGATGAGTAGTTGCAAACCACTCATGTCAACCAGTAGTAAATGTTAACCATATCAAGGTGATCTAAACACCAGACGGGTGTTTAGCTCATTTGGAGACGAGCTGATCAGCCGTATACTCGATTCCGACCCATTTCAGACAGCCAAACCAGTTCGCACCAGAAATCGGCTGCTTGAGAAACCTATGGTCCTATAGTTTCAGAAGCAGTGTGCAGACTAGTCCTTGTAGAAGTGAGTTGATAATGCATCCTTCCCACTATGTGGTAGCAGTGCATGTGAGACAGATAATCCGAAGGCAGTGGTTAGTAGACAAGCTATATGAGCTGCCAGTACCTTAAGTGAAGACCCCCACTGACTTCCTTGTGTCTAGTCCGCTTGGTGATTGTAATGTGATTATTCGATCAGTGTTGTCAGAATCATTCCCATCTGTGCCCGTCACGATCGAAGCTGATAGTGACAACTTCTGCAGGGAGACTGTATGAAGGTGGTCTGATTTTACTTTAGCCTTTCCCTGACCCTCTTCGAATGTCTTCGCCAGTAATCAGGCTTACTAGTCTGTCGGATACCTTATTCCAGAGGTTCAGTGTACGGAAACAGTTCCTCGGCTGCACCAATTCTTTCCCATCTATATATGTTCCGAAATCCTGCAAAATTATAGTCACAGCGTGATAAATACATTGCAGCACTTGTGTTTACGTCTAAGCAGTTCACGAATTTCTAGGTTTATCCATGGGGGGCACTATTCTCGACCTTTCGGGACGGTTCACTGGATTTGTTGTTACTTCAGTAGGAGCTTCTGGACCTGCAAATCAAGTCCTCTGATGGGGGTGCAAGAATAACAGTGTCCATATCAGCATGTCACACGTTTGACTTAGCTGAGGTTTTAGCTCAGGATATTGTGGCAGCTGTAAGCCTAAATGTTGGCAGAGGGTAACCACCTGTCTCCAGTTGCGGGAGATGTTTCATGAAGTTCACATCCAAAACCAGACTTACGGCTAAAGAGAAATCCCGAGAATTACAACACATTGACACCTTGACGTTCTGGACTACTCCCAGTGAAACGTGGGATTTTAACAGCTTGTAGTAGATGGAATTGTCTAGAAGTATAGTTGCATTACGTTTTAAGTCACCCGCTGGGTCGTCAACATCCTCTGCCATATGGCATATTCTTGAGTCCATGAGTCTAGTTTGTGACACTCAGCAATGAAATTAATACAATGTCCTTTACATTCTACTTTTCAACTTAGAAATTCATATCACCTGTTTTCAGGTACAGCAGCTGTGTCACTCAAATTCGGCCCCTTCTTTAAGTAAATAACTACTCCGTGATCAAAGGCGTTCAGCTGATCTGCCCCATGGTCTGTGGAGTTTCGAAGATTTACTTCACTGTTACCGCTTTCAGGTGTCAACTATGATTTCTTAAGGTTGATAACATATGGGCTTTCCGATTCGACGTCACTTCTCAGCTCATTTCGCTGATATTGTAGCGAACTCTTAGTTTAGATCGGTGTCTTCACCCAAAGAGGTTTGAGAATCAGTGAGCTTCGAAGTTTCACCACTCGAAAACCTTTAAAAACAATATTTTTCTTGTTGTCGTGGTGCTACTGACTTAACTCCAGTCCAGGAGAATGTAGATATTTGTAGATAGTAGATATTTGGTCACTTAAAAGAATTAAAATCGCTCGAAATTGTCTTTTTCAGTTTTTGAGTGTACCATGGCTATGAGAATGAGCGCCGACTGAATTGCTGGGGAATCGGCCTTTGACCGATTCTACAGAGACCGTGAATGATTATGCCTGCTGCTAAAGTGGGGTGCAGATAATGTGTTTGGTTTGGCTACACCAAGATTGTGTTCGAATGTGGTCTCAGGATCTGAATCTTTTGATTTCTCCTCTTTGTGGATGGTGATCTACCTGTCGGACAAGTCAGATTTGCCTTGATTGAATTTTTCACTTCATGACAGCCATATCTTTTCGTCTTTGATGGGCTGTAGATCTTGTGTAATGCTTTGCAAGAGGCTACATCTTACTATTCATTGAAGATCTCTTCTCTACCTGTCTTAGGTGTTGACTACGTGCTATCCACTTGCAATATGTGGAGGGCTAGGACTAAAGTGTCCGTAGCTGATGACCTTTGCTACCCCTTTTCCTTTCGAGGGGATGAGGCATACTGCAGTCGGTGTTTTTGGATGCTGCTAAGTCAAGGGAACTGTTAGATCTATCTGTCGCTCTAACAGCATCACCTACGTACAAGCACTGGTAATTGTGCCCATTGGATAAGGGCCCATCGAGGTTAAGAGGCTTCAGCATCATGTTAAGCAGTATGAAAACCTCCCGTACAAAGCATTCTGTCGAGCTGCGATAGTCTTTGCACAGAGGCTGGTAGCAACGGCCTTCTTACCTGGGATTTGCTTAGGAGAAAGAAAAGTACTATTACAGAGAGACATCACAGTTACGAGTAAAAACAAAATCGGAATATTATAATGCATAAGTATAAGTTCGATTCAAAAAATAATGGAAGGGAAATCCGAAGTGTTAAGAAACAAATTCTCTACCTCAGCAAGAATGACCCAAGTCAAAATTTATCTTTAGGATTTATCTGCTGGTGTACAACACAACAAAAGCTGAATGTAGACAGGAACGTGGTAAAATGAACTCCCTGTTCAAGTATAGCGGACGAATTGCTCTGCCTAGTGATTGTAGCCTCATGGAACCATGGCTTCATTTTATTCCAAATTCAAGTTCTCGGTCAGCAGGATTCTGTGATATTTTGTGAAGCACCCATTTGTAAATTCATATGGAAAACGTGGATGTCTAGGAAACCAGTTAGTTAGGCTGCTTGAACGACTTCGAGCTCGCTTCCGGCTGGTTTCGACTAAAAATGACGCTTGCGACTGATGGGTAGTCATCTATCCCGCCAGATCTGAGCTCTGGTTGCACTAAATGCAGACTCTTTAGCCTGGCCCACCAAACCTGGTGGCTTCATCTGAGTCAACCTCTTCCATGACCTCTTACCTAAGGCTTGATCTCTTTCTACAATGTGACACTTTTTACTTCTGTGTT